TTTGCCTTGCTTTTACATTTCATTGGGTTGTATCATGTTATTGGTAGCCATCTTGAGTCCCTATGGGAAGAAAGGCAGAACAGAAGTAATGATGATGATTGTTGCGTCTCAGGTTAAGCTTCACCTTGCTCTCTGACAAACCAGCCAAACTTGAGAAGAAAGAAGTTTATTAAAGTTCAAAACAAATCCAAGTAAAAGCAGTAAAAATTCAATGGTATAAAGTATAGGTCCAAAGTTCTGTTGAATCAAGGCAGGGAAACTTGAGGCAAGGAAGCAGGATACAATCCAGGCAATAGCATGAAGTTACAGGAAGCAAACGAACCCCAAAGCCCAAGCCCTAGGGCCAAAGGTACAGCAATTCATTTTGCAAAGTTGGATCTGACACTGAATCAGCTTTCCAGCAGTCTTCTTATAGGAAAAACATCAAAACATGAACATTAAACAGAACAGCTAACGAGCAGTTTTCCCACCAGCAGATGGCCTCAAGATTTGGCCGCAATCCGTAAACTTTTCCTTAACACCTGCGGCTCGCGCCGACCTTCACCGAGAGTGTTATCAGCCACATTCCTTTCCCTTGAGAACAAGGGATTCTCTCTAGCTACAGACTGTGGCTGAGAAAACTGAGAAATCTGAAATCCCACATCTGCATCTGTATTCCCATTCTCATCATGCCCACTTGCACTCTGAGTCCCATCATGCCCACTTGCACTCTCAGTCCCATCATGCCCATCATGCTGTTGCTGAACCACAACAATGATGATGATTACCTAAAAAGAAGGAAGTCATACTGACAGCATCGATACATCAACAAAGCCACAAGGAGAACCAACGTTCTTTCTGAGACTAAAAAAGTACTATGTAGGAGATCTATAGGAAGAGGCCAGAAGGACAGACATAAAGAAGTGGTTGAGTGCATACATGTGAAGTCATCAGTATAGGCTATCACTTGTGGCCGAGTATGATTACTCGAGAGTCTTGGTGGTTGATTCTTCAAATAAAAGAAATCTGGAATTGGAAAGCAAGCAAGTTGTTCTATTTTTCCCCTTTTGTGAGAAAACTTTTCCACTGCAGATGCCTGACATCACTTAAGTCATGTGCCTTTCTGTATTCCAGTCTAGATCATTCCTATCTAGTCTCCCTTGAAAGACATGATGAGAATTCCTGCTAACCGTCAGCCAGCCTAAAGTACCCAATCTTATTTCTAAAGTAAGTCAATTATTATCTTCAATGGAAGTAATTTTACATAGGATTTTTAAGGTAGCAAGACTCAATCATTATTAATTAAAAGGAAGATTGGATCCACTTAAGAGGAATTAAAACCCTCAAAGCAAAAAAGGGGTAAGAAGAAATCTGCGAAAGGCTAAAATAATTGAGAGATACAGAATTACCCAGTGTCTCTGAAAATAAACATTCGAATATATAATTCTATTAAGAATCAGGTGGATCAGCCATTGGCAATGGTATTATAGATAACAATACCCCACTGCTTCAGTTATTAATTGCCTAGCTTCTCCAAGCATCTACAAAATAAAGAGTTGGCAAGCCAGATAATTTTTAGAGCCATGAGGATTGAGCCAGAATTCATTAGCTCAAGATGTACTGCTTCAAACATGCTTATATCCCCCCCACTTTAAACAGAAAATCATTGTTGATACCAAAAGTATATTCAAACTATGTATCTAAAATTTTAAACAACTAGAAGAAAAATAAAGATATATTTATCTGAAGTACAACATTTCTGAGTTAAGGTTATGCATCAGCACCCCCCTTCATTTAGCGCAGCAATCCAATTCAGTCATTCATTATCTATCTTTCTAAAGCTATGAAACGCAGACTGGCTTTCTTTTAAATTTATTTTTAATTTGGCTCACGGCAACTGATATTCTCAGTCAGACCACTTTGAAATCCTTTGTGTAGAAAAGATAATTATAGCCCCAATTTAACTTTTGAATCACGATCCAATCTAATCTTAAAATCTAGGTTTGGCTGTTGAATGGACACAGATTGAGCGATTCGAATACTAGAACATGAACTCTGTGGAGATACAATCTATGGAGATAAAATGCAAGGAAAATGCAAAACTTGAAATATCAGCAGCTCTGTTTTGGGATGGTATATAGGAGACTATATAGAAAGACTCAATGGGGAGGTGGAGGAGAAAAAGAAGCAATTGGGGATGAACTGCACATGAAAGGTTTAGAGATGTTTCAACAGAACAAAGGTATCAGAAATGTTAGGTAAGGCTGGAGTTGAACTAGATGTATTTGGATGACAAAAAATTAAAACTCCTTTCCTTTGGGCAGAGACATTATTGTGAATTCAGCAAGAAGAGTTCCCAAATGCTGGCACAGACTGTAAAAAAAGGAAAATGTGATTTATATTTCAAAAACAAGGAGAGAGAGAGAGGTAAGTTAATATATGCACACCTTCTAAAGAGATTAATATATTTTCAGGACTATATAGTAGGAGCTGGACTCAAATTGTAAATAGACTAATATTTTACATAATCTACTCACACTGAGAAAAATGACAAAAGATTTCAAACATATTGCAATTATAGACAAAGATCTATTTGCAATGGAAGTGTTTGTTTATTATCCAAGTCTAAATCAGATCTTCTTAAACTTTTCCCACTTTCCAGTTGAGAAATGTTTATGTGACCCAAGGTATATAAATCAGGTATAAAAAATCAAACATTTACTAAAAACAAATCAGTATGTGCAAGGCTTGTAAACAGGCTGTTTTTCCCTTTTGTGGAGTACAACTTAAACCGTTTTTGCAGAGTCCACTGTAAACATTGCACATTGTTGTTAACAGATTTGTGTAAATGTAAAAAGGTAAAGGTTGTCCCCTGACATTAAGTCCAGTCATGTCTGACTCTGGGGTGTGGTGCTCATCTCCATTTCTAAGTCGAAGAGCCGGCGTTGTCCGTAGACACCTCCAAGGTCATGTGGCCAGCATGACTGCATGGAGCATCGTTACATTATGTAAATGTATTCCATGTATAAACCTTTTACTATGGCCAATTTTTTCATGACCCCAACATTATTTACCTGATCTAAATAACGTATATGTTGTTCTTGTGTAATTTATGATTTATGGCAACCATAACGGAAAACTTATCACAGGGTTTTCTGTGGCTGAGATTGTGTGACTTGCCAAAGGACACCCAGTGGGTTTGGGAATCGAATCCTGACCTCAAGAGTCATAGTTCAACGCTCACTAGAAATGACTCAGTAGAAAAGACAATAATGTTTAGTAAAGTGGAAGGCTGTAGGAAATGCCCACATTCCAAATGGACAGATTCCTGGGTCTGCAAGACCTGAGCAAGGCTTTTGAGGGTAGGATGACTTGGAGATCTCTCATTCATAGGATTGCCATTAGTCAAAGTAAACTTGACAACAGTTAAGAACTTCAAATGATATGAACTTTAAAGGCCACTAAAATGCAGCTAAGGAACATATCAGCAAGTTCAATGTACCTGTTCCCACTTACAAACAAATTTAACTTAAGAACAAACTTACAGAACTTGTTCGTAATTTGGAGACTGCCTGTATGTTTCTCCCCATCATCATCACCAGCATCTTTAAAATTATCAATCTTTAGGACAAGGAGCTTATAAACCTTTGGCTATGTCAACAATTCATTTGTCTATCTTAATGCTATTTTGATTTGATGGTACATGAGGAACAAAATTAGTGGATTTATACCAAAAGAACACTGTGATAAATAAACGTCTTTACTTCAGAGTGCCTTTGTTATCGGCCATATCAGTTTAAAGCAGAAAGGAGGATGACTCACCTTTTGCAAGGCTTAAGTCTCTCTTTCTCTCTCTTTTTCTTTGCCACCCTTCTGCTATATTTAGGACTGCCTTCAGTCAAACAACTGCCATGCTCTCCTTACATAACCTAATTTACATCTGGAACATTACAGAACCTTGGTCTCCTCATCAGGAGAAATATCAACTGTAAGCAGCCATTTTCCTCTTGGATTTTGCATTTTGGCTGTTCTTTTGATCAAAAGGAGAGGCAACCTATTCTGATAGAAGGAACAGCAGGGAGGCCAACTTTTTTGTTTTTGCTGTAACAAAAACTTGCACAGCATCATAAAGATACAACTAATTTGTTACTCTTTAAAGTGCTACAGGGCTATGTTTTTTTAAAAAATGCTAGTGAACCACATAGAAATCAAGACAGAGCTCTATTACTAACCTTGTAGCAAGATTACAGACTTAAATCAACAGTGTAAGTGTTGGAAAGTTAAAGCACCAACAATGTGACAAGTAAAAGAAGTCAGTAATGAAGAGTAAAATAGGTAAGCAACCCCTAATATATCCACTTGTATTTTTTAAATCTATATACAGAATGATATGCATGTCCTTTGCTTCTTTCCTCCTTTCTCCAAGGTCACTGCTTTTGTGCTTCTCTAACCATCTCATCACAAAGGGCTAAAATCGCGGCATGCGCTGATTTTAGCTCAGGTCACCCACGGAGTCAGCCAGCTCCAGTCACATGATGCTACGCCGGCTCCATGGCTGAAAGAGGGCAGAGCCAGTGCATGCCACCACACAGGAGATCTCTCATGTTGCCACAGAATGCATGAGGGAAAGCCACATGCATTCACGCTTCCTCCCATCTGATCATTCTCAGCTGGATCCGAGCAATGCGAGGCATGGGGCACTGGATTCCCCATGTCCCTCTATGAACTGGAGCAATACCAGTGGCTATCACTAAGGAAGGACAGGCAGCACATGGAAACACCATCAAGATCGCCTGCACAAACATGATGCATGGAGTTCACCTTCAGGAATTTTTAGAACCACATTTGGTGTTTTCCATCTTTGACTGGCTTTCATAAAACAGTAAGTATGGGGTTACCATTTCCAGTCACAGGGGCTGACATTACTTTACATACAACAACTCAGCCTACAAATCCATTTGTAACCCATCAAAAAGTGTTTGAAATATTTTCATATGTAACATTGAGCTTCGATGTCTTACCTGTTTGTGCCACCATATGTGTCCATCCATTCCACACTCTTCTGACTTTTTCACCTCCAAAATAATGTGCATCTATCTTCTGAGGTTTCAGAATAAAGTCACCTTTGTTCACTAACTGTTTGTGTTTGTTATTTCCCCAAACATATAACTCTCCTTCATCTAAAAGAAAGGTATCAAGAAAGGAAACAGGAGGTGTCTTAAGGACACAGAAATAAAAACGAAATGTCATTGTTCCTTTGCATATTTTCTCTCTCTTCATGTTTATGAAAACTGACATAAACATTTTTAAAGGTACACTGCATGTTTTAAAAAAAAGCTATAATCCAGGCATTACACTATATTTATAGAACTATTCATAAATGCAATTTAACACTCCTATCTCCAAAATCATGAAAACTGACCTGAATTACAAAATACTTATCTCAAGCAAAAAAAAAATGAAACATATTTTATTCATATACAACCAAACACATTATGAACTTATCCTATATAAAAAGTACATATTTTTGTATAGAAACATCATTTCCTCTGTAAGAATGCTAGTTTCTGTAGAGGAGACTTGTTTTCTGAACTGAAAAATGCAGTTTACTGTATGTGTGTGTGTGTGTGTGTGTGTATGCAGCAAACATATTCTATGCAAGAATTGCAAACAAAACACACACAAGGTGTTACAAAAACATATAAAGGGGAGTGATATCGAAACATTAGTAGTTCTATAGTGTGAAGCTTACACTGTATATCTTGCAAGCCATGAAGTACCTGTATGTTATTTTAATCTTGTTGTAAAATGAACTACATAATGACTTTCAGGAGACCATAATCATCAAATAGAATGGGAGGGTGTGAATTTAAAATGGCTTAGCAATAAGTCAAGACAATTCCCAAATAAAGCTATTTAGTTAATAATAATCTAACCATTTATTTTTTAGGGAGAGGAAGTTAAGTTGACGTTTTCAATTTTTCTCCTTGTAACACCTTTGATGTAGACACAAATCTACTAAAGAAGGCAAGAGGAGTGTGTTTACATGAACAGTGAAACACAGAAGGTGCACACTTCATAGTAAATGTTGAACCAAGTCTTGGAGGCTTGATGCATTGTGTGATTCAGCCAAATAAAATGGATGGCTACGCCCAGTGAAACATACCTGTGAGTGCTGCAGCATGGTATGAGCCAGATGCAACACTCTTCACCTTGGTATCTTCCAGACCTAAGATAATAATCCATTATATGTCATCAGGTAAAGAGAGAGGTTTTGTTTCCAGAAGCATTTTGCAATACAAGACCCCACAATACACAGCTTTATAACAAACAATGGTAGTGCAGGATTTGTTAGAAAGTGAGCTGCCCTCCCAGGCTAATTTTCTAAATCACAAAGAATGACAGGAGATTATTCAAATATGGATTAAAGCTTTACAAATCAGTGTTTATTTGTACGGTCAAAACATTTAATTTCAGCTCTTTAAAAAATAGAAACACAATTATTTTGTATGAGAACATCTCAGAAGATGCTCTACATTGATGTTTGATAAATATGACTATAAACAACCATCTCCCAAAGAAACTTTGAAGTAACATGTCACAAGTAGCACTGTTACACTGCCACCATTGTTACTTTTTAAAAATAATATAAGGAAATGCAACATCTTTATGTTATTGGAACAAAGGCTAAATCATTACCCTTAAGGACATTTGTGGGGGAATTTTGGTCTAACATGTCCTAAAAATCTGCACTAGAGGACTATGTCCCTCTCAAGCAGGTTTCCCTCACCAGATAAGGCTGCAGATGAAGGGACAAAAAAAACCCAGATGCAACTGTAACTGTCAAGTTGGAGTTAGGCCAAAATGTTTGACAATTGCATTCATTCAAGCAGAAGTTGGCCTAAGTAGACTCCCTGATGAACCATGAGAATTCCTTGATGACGATGATAAGAACTTCTATAATGCGTGCAAGCAAACCCATTGTGTTTCACTGCCAGATTGCTCCTAATAGCAGAGATAGCAGTTCAGTCATAAAAGAAATCTCAGGGGGAAAAAGCTTACGGTTTAAGAGCCGGACAGTCTAATTTCTAGGTAAAAAAAGCAGGTTGAAAGTTTTAAAAGAAATTTGTGAGATGAAAGAAACCATTGTCTTGAAGCCTTCTGAGAAATGTATGTCTCTGGGACATAAAACAGTGAATGTAGGATATTACCTGATATTCTTCATCAGCGGTTTACTTATATATAATTAACTAAGTTTTCCCTAGACTCCATGAGGATCAAAGGGGCTTTTATTCCCCCAAACATCCTGTTGTTGTTGTTGTTGTTGTTTTTCATGTCAGGAGCAACTTGAGAAACTGCAAGTCACTTCTGTTGTGAGAGAATAGGCCATCTGCAAGGACAGTGCCCAGGGGACGCCCAGATGTTTTGATGTTTTACCATCCTTGTGGGAGGATTCTCTCATGTCCCCACATGGGGAGCTGGAACTGACAGAGTAAGCTCATCCATGCTCTTACCGGATTCGAACCTCTGCCTGTCAGTCTTCAGTACTGATGACACAAGGGTTTAACCCATTGCACCACCAGGGGCTCCATCCTATAGAGGTGGGATGGTGTTTTCACCATATTTTAGAGAGGGCCTGGGTATTGCCGGCTCAGTAGAGGCCTTCAGTAGATTATCACACTATACTACACTTTACATTCTATAGCTCCTCCTGTTGAATTTTGCATTTTCAGTTTACATGGGAGGATTTTAGAATACTCAGCCAGGGCCGCACTAAACTACAAATCCCAGAATTCTGCAGAAGGCAGCCACAGAATTTACAGTGGAATGCCAAAGTGTAGTGTGATAATCTCCTAAAAAAGTGTAAGTGACTGAAAAGGTCTCTTTGGTTCCTAAAATGGCCCAGAGGGCCAAAAACATGATGAAAATGCCCCCACAACTCTAAGAGGACATTTGAGGGCAAGAAAAACAAACTTTTCTGCTCTGCAAGTATCATAAGAGACGCCTAACTAATGTCAACCCTCTGGATGAGGGAGCTCCTAGAGGAGATTCAGTTATTAATCACCCTGCTCAGGTCTTGCAAACTGTGGTCCCTAGCTTCCTTTATTGAATCTAACCATCTGTAATACAATCTTCTCTTTTTCATTACTGCCTTCAACTCTTTCCAGCACTGGTGTTCAATGCTATATCTTTATACTTCAGGACCTTATCTAGTTTCTTTAAGCTGACTTTCTGATGTAATGACTAGTGTCCATTTTGACTGATGACTGGGCAAGGTATATTTTCAAAACTTTATTTCAATATCTTCATCAAACGGTTAGCATGTTGTTTCTACATTCCCTTTATTTGATACTGATAATATGTGTTGATCATTCAACAGTCCTGCTCCTAGTTTCAATTTCCTTTGACTTCTCAGATTTTGTGAAAGACGTCCTTGTGTTTGGTTGGTTACAGCAGATCACAAATGGCCATATACTATAATGAAGCAAGAAATATCCCTTTGTAGCAGCCAAAAGCAGAAGAGAGCATGACAGTGGAGAGGTATATGGCACTTTTGGAAAACAGTGGGCAATAGGCTCTGAATAGGGTAAGCCAGAATCTATGGATCTTTGCATAATGACAAGAGCAGAGTGTGGAACTCTTTCTCGTTTAGACTAAAAACCCTGTAATGCCTGCTGAACATGACAGCTGAGACTTTCTGGCTGTTGTAGCCCAAAAAAGTACAAGACACCTGTCCATATCCTAAATATTTTAGTACCTGAGATGCTATGGCACAAATGCAATATATATATTTTAAAAAACAAACCTGTTACTTTGCACGGTTCTCTTGCCCTCAGAAAGGATGGAACCATTTCTGCTTGGCATGCCCGCTTTGCCTGAGATGACATACCAATTCCCCACTGGAACACTGAACCATTTTCTTTTTGACGTGTACATGCAAAAGCAAAGTTAATTATGGATGTTTTTAGAAACTATTCCCGTGCTAATACACTAGGACAGAATATATTAATATTTTCATTAACAAGAATATAAACATAAAAGATGTTTTAACATGTGAATTGTAAGAGTAAGATAATTTTAGCATAAAACCTTCAGCAGACCAAATATGCTATGGTTTGTGGCTACTTGACACATTTTGGTTTTTAAGTAAACACTTTAGATCTGTCAAGCATTCAACTCTAAAATACCCCATAGAATTTTATGCTAAATGTCTGGTATAGAGGTACTGTATATGCTCATATATAACAGTAAGAATTGCAGTCAAAAATCAACCCAAAAAAGCAAGGTCATTATATCCACAAGTCAGTGTTAGGACTCTCCCTTAACTCTTACCCAAAAAAGGAAACCATTTCCTTCTCTGAGGACCCGTCTACACAGCCCTATATCCCAGAATATCAAGGCAAAAAATCCCACATTATCTGAGTGTGGACTTAAATAACCCAGGGCCCTTCCACACAGTCCTATATCCCAGAATATCAAGGAAGAAAATCCCACATTATCTTGGAAGGGCCCCAAGTCAGTACTAGGAGAACCTAAAAGAAGCAACAACCTCTCTACTGACCCATCCACACAGCCCTATATCCCAGTATATCAAGGCAGGAAATCCCACAATATCTCCTTTGAACTGGGTTATCTGAGTCCACACTCAGGGAATGTGGGATTTTCTGCCTTGATATACTGGGATATAGATGTGCACTCGAGCATGGAGTGGCTGAGTGTACAGCTGTCATTTTTTCCTAAAACAAATCTTAAAAGTTAAAAGTTCACAGAACAGTGGGATAGTTCTGCAGGGAGCAGGCTTTTTGTTGTGTTGTTATTTTTAAAGCCTTGAGGCATGAATAGAACAGCTGGAAAAATTTCCATCATCAGCAGATATTTTAAATATCATGCAAAACTCTCTCAAGAAATGGGGAAAAACTGTTGTCAGTTTGGATAGACAAAAAAGCTCTTGGTTTACCCCTTCCAGAGCAGGAACAGACTGTACCCTAGTTTCATCAGCTCCACGCAGCCTGCCAGCAGATTAGTCACTTCCCAGTAGAAGAAATGGAGCCTACTTCTAACCATTTGGTCCCAAGTGTGGGTAGATTCATACAATTAACTGCTGAATAGACACATTGGTAAATTCCACAAATTCAATAGGTCTACTCTAGTTAGAACTAACAATAGGATATATACTTTTTAATGTATTTACAAAGTATTGCCCTTTACCTCCTGGCCACTCTCCTTATATTTCAGTCATCTCAACACAAAATTTCTGATGCAGACCTACAAAAACAATTATGTTGCATATATTCCACTCAGATAATACAACCATTATAGTATCAGAACTGATGGAAAAAATAAAAATCATACTTTTAAGTGAGCAAAGTTTGAATTTTTGAACACTTTAACTCCTCATCATTGTAGGAGATATAACTCACCAGTGACAGCAAGTGCATGTCTCAGTCCAGCAGCCACATTTACCACCTTCTCCTGTAAAGACTAGGAGACAAAGGGAAAACACACACTTTATGTGTATTTAAGGTATATAGACTACAGAACCAATGCAGCCAACACTTGAGTTTTCAAAAATGAGAGTTTGTTTTTCTGTGCCTTTCAAGTCATTTTTACTTATGGAGCTGAGAGTGTGGAAGCTCACCCAGCGGGTTCTCACAGCCAAATAGAAAACTGAATCCTGCTCTCCAGTCATAGTCCAGCACTCAAACTCTGCAGTACAATAGGAGTGTATGCACAATATTTTCAAAATTGACTCAGAAAATAGTGGTTACTCCTTCTTTGGAGGTTTCTAAACAAAGGGTAGATGGGCATGTTTTAGCTATATATTCCTGCACAGCAGTGCTTAGATTAGATTAACCTTGTTGTCCAGACCTATGATCCTAATATAAAGCATCTGTATCATGCATCAACAGTAGCTTTTTCCGCTGCTGGTTCCAACTGTGTTGGGCTATATCTCCCATCATCAACTGCCAGCATGTCTACTCCGGAAGTATATCTGCAGGAATGTGACTTGAGAAGGAAGCAACTCATTTTTACAGCTACACAGGATGACAGTCGTTCCTCCACATTTCCAATTTTGACTTTTATGGATTTGATTAATGACAGATTTACTTGAAAAAATGTTCTCTCTAGGACTCTCTTGGTCCTCCATGTCACCTTCCCCCAGTCATGCTTTAGGAACTAGAGATTTCCAGATGCTCTGATGGGATTTATAATGAGCTTTTAGTTATTATAAATGAACTATAGAGTCATACTGGAAGATTAAAAATTCCTAGAGATGAATGCTCTAAGCAAAAAATAGCAATTCTTTATTACAAGTTTTCACTTTCACTGGGATCTTGTGCCCCTAACCCCAGTGAATATGGAGGACTGACTGTTTTTCTTTTTCCCAAAATAGATAATTAATGGCATGTGCTGATACTTTAAGAACAGAATAATTGCTTTGCCCCCATATAGATGGTTTTCAATTCAATCCCTCATATCTCCAGCCATGGCTAGACAAAACCTACCTGAAACCCTGGAGAGATACTACCAAATAATGTCAACAATACTGGGCAACATACACCTGCATTCAAAAGCAGCTTCCTGTACTTCAAAATGAGAATGCTAGGCCAGAATCAAGTTTTCAAGCAGCTTACCTCAATCCTCTTTGGGACTGTGCTTCCTCCAGAAGTCAGAGAAATTCCCAATTGTCCAAATGAATTAGATCCACATGAAAACACCTGCCCATTGCCTGCAAGACACAGTACTGTGTGGTAACAACTTTAATTGTGTATCTTAAGTCAACGTCCAGAGTACTGTGATACATGCTGCCTCAGTGCACAGTTCCCTGAAAGTTTGCTGTCAGCATTTCCTAACAGAACCTTTGCTGTGGCAAGTTAATTTTCCCTTTCCCATCAGGAATTACTCCTGAGCAATGTCATGATTGATGAGGAGTTAAACAGGCATTCTCACTACTTTTGTTCCGAAGTCAGATAATGACTTTTCTGTTTCTGCAGGACTTTCAACCCATCTAAACAATGTGCTGGACTTGCTTTTTGCTATATCTATTATGCTGGTATTTTTGCTTATATTTTATAGTTTATATTTTTATCTGGTTTTAATTTTTCTGTAGTTGATTAATCTTTTAACTTGAGTATTTTAACTACAGTAAAAACCCCATATCCATGGGGGACATGGTCACAGGCCAGACCACAACGACCTGCCGTTGTATAGGACCAAGGACCTTACATTACCTGGCTTCCATCCCAGCTTACCAGAGTATGCAAGGTCTAGCAAATTCCTTGAAACCGTTTTTCCCCAGGTTCAGCAATTGAAACTGCGGATTTGGTTTCCACAGTTACTGGGGTCTTAGTATATATGATTTTTTTTTCACCCTATTGTGAGCCACATCAAATCCTGAACTTGGAAAAGGGTGGGAGAAATGATCAGAGTATACATTTTAAGGTAGCAGAGGTGCTTCTCAACCAAGGTAACAGTTCCTTTATCTATCATATATAAATTAATTGCAAAAAGTGAGATATGAAGTAATAAGTAGCACCAGTAAGCACAGGTATTCACGACAATGTATAGTTGTTATCCAAGTATATCTCTCATGTCCATATAACAAAACAGAAGTTTAGAAAAATTATGTTTCTTATGCAAGCTATAGTGAAATGTTAGTGAAGCAAAGTTATATTTCTTAGTATATCAACCAGATCAGTACCTTTGGCTAGATACTGATTTTCCAGCATTAAAAATGATACCTCCATATGTTCTGGTTAGCACTTTACGTAAGGTTGCCATAAACTTCAAAGCTATGTGTCCCAAAATTCACTTTTGAATATTTAGTAATAAGAAACATGTGATATATGTGCCTGTTTCTCATATAACAAGGTATAAATTTGTAAGCATGGTTAATACATGCATGCAGTGTCCTTTTTGTAAACATATATGCACCTATTGACTCTGGGCTCAATTTCTGTCTCTGAGTTTGCCTTCTTGGGATTTGTAACATCAGCTATGAAAAATTGTCCAGTTCTCCTTTATTTTTAACAAGGAAGATAGTATATCTCAGCTGTTATTCCATTGGTAGCAAGCCCAGTTGAGAATTGCTGAGAAAAAGAGCAATTCTGGGCTTCATGCGTTCCTTGATACAAGCAGTTATGAGTTCTCCCAAAGAATGTTCTACTTTTGGCAATCTCAACTGGACAGTATCTGCCACATATTAGTGTATTTCCCCATTAGAAAGATCAGGCCCAATCCAAAAATATATATTAATCTCATTCATATCCCACTTAAAACAATTAAATGGAACTAGTACCACTAATACAAGGAAGACCCACCAGTATGAACCTGAAACATGAGCTCTGTCTCGACCACTGTATCACAGAAGCACTAAGATGAACAAACAGTATGTTTCTGATTTCCAAATGTACAATAATTTCTATAAATCTCTTGAACTGTATAGGATTAAGTGTTCGGTGAGGCACCACCACTCTTTGACAGAGAAATCCAAAGAACTTGTGAAATGACAACTCCCATGATTCCATAGTATTGAATCATAGCAGTTAGTGGCATTAATTCTACATTATAGATATATATTTGGACAGTTAAGTGATGTTATATACTTCAAGTTGATTCTGACCTATGGCAACCCTGTCACAGGGCTTTCTTGGTAAGTTTTTTTCTCAAAAGATGTTCGCCATTGTCTTCCTGTAAAGCTGACAGTATGACTTGTTCATATCTGAATAACATTTTGAATCCTGGTCTCCCTGCATTTTATTTAATGCTCAAACCACTACAAATGATTTAACCCTAAAGACAGATTTACCTGCAAGTATAATTGTAAAATCCCAGCCACAGGCAACTTGTATGACAGGACAGCCACACAGGGAAGAGCATAACGTGAAATGTGTCACATCTTCAGTATGGCCAAGTCCTAACTGTCCATTTTTATTCTGGCCACATAAAAAGAGTTCTCCAGTATCTGCAAAATGAACAAATATTATCAGTGCAACAGACTCCAAAATACAGGTGTGTGTGTATGTGTGTTTTAAGACCCAGTTCTGGAAAAATGTGTACAGAAAATTCAAGGAAGGAGTATGGACACCCCTTTTTTTCCTGCTACAGAATTGGGGAACCTGTGGCTCTCCTGACCTGGTTGGACTTCCAGCTCCTATCACTCTCAGCCAACATGAACAATTTTTTTAGCTTTTTATAGGCTTTATTGTAGATGCAATAAGATATAGTTTAATTTATTGTAGGGATACGCAAGCTCTTCAGCTGCTTGTAGACTTTTTAACTTGATGCAGAATCTTGCTTGTTTTTTCCTGTTTGCATGAGATATGCCTTGTTCTTTAGAGCCAATATGGCAAAACTGTTCATGTGCATTACATTCTCATTCTTATTGGACAAGATCCGGAATTTAAACCCTCAGATAGTGGTGGTGCTCTAGCTAGGTTTACATTTTGTAACTTTTTCTGTACAGAGCCAATTTCTGAATACTGTTAGGAAATCAAATAAAAAACAAACAAAACAAAATCATAGGAAACCAATGACCAATTATTGAAGTTAACGGAATCTGGAATGCAATAAAAACGTTCTATAGGGCCACAATTTCATGAACCCTATCGTACTCACACTTGTTAATCAACTGGGCACTCACAAAGACAAAATCAGCACCTGCCATCAAGCTTATACATCACTGAACTAAGGATTGTAGGAGATGCATAAACAAAATTTTAAATGCTAAATTTTGCAATGTAATATACATAGGGGGTTTTTTACCGGTAACAACTGCAGAATGTCCACCTCCACCAGTCATGTTTTTGATGGTTTCCCAATTACAAAGAAATCCTTTCAGAGCCTGAGGCAGCAATACATCTTCTTTGTGACCAAGACCAAGCTGGCCATAACTATTTGCTCCCTATAAGGAGAGAAAAAAGTGAGATATTTATTTTAATATAATTAACAAACTTTCTGACAAAAAAACTCCTTTTTATATATTTTTAGACACCCAGCAAATCCCCCTTCTTTTCTTCCTCTTCTCTTCTAGCACCAACTACACTGGGAAGATTTTGAAGAAAAGCTGAAGAAATGTTAAGACTTTCTACATCAAGCAAAAGTAGAGTGATGGCAGTAAACATCATTTATTTTGTCATGTTTGTATGTTTACACTCTTCCTCCAAGAACTCAGCCTGACTGCTCCAGCATTGTGTCTGGGGCTCCTTCCACATAGCTGAATAAAACCCCGCATTATCTGCTTTGAACTGGGATATATGGCAGTGTGGACTCAGATAACCTAGTTCAAATCAGATATTGTGGGGTTTTCTGCTTTGATATTCTGGTTTATATAGCTGCATGGAAGGGCCCTGGGTTAGGCAGAGACCTGAACTTTCTGATGGCCTCCATTACCATGCCGGTGGGTCATACTGGTAGATTGTTGCATTCTCATCTCATCTTCCCCAGCCACCAGGCTGCCGTCACTCCAGTTGTTTCATTGCTTCCTGCTCACCGCTGCTGCTGTTACCCTTTGTTGCTCCCTTCTGATTTCAGTCACAGCCCACACCAACAACTACAAAGTGTTTTTTCAGTACTTTCAAGGTAGCTGGCTTTTTCTGTTGTGCCAACGTATTGCATCCAAGGCATCCCTAGCCCCTCACTATGCATCCTTCTGCCTAAGGCCCTGTAGCCATATCCCTCCCTCCTCTACTGAGTTGCACTGTTTTTCTAGTATTCCTTGAAGCTTTCTTCTGCAGCATCCACGTCATTCCCCATGACATCTAGCAGCATCAGTGTGCTGCCACACATCAGCTCCAGGCTAGGCAGGGACTTACGCTCCTCCATGGTCACCGCTGCTGCATTGTATCTGCATTGCTTGTGCTATATTTGGGGATATTTGGGGAGAGGGGGTTCACATGGAGAAGGGAGTCAATGATGAGGGGGAAAAGTATTATTATTTATTATTTATTAAAAACATTTATATTCTGCCCTTCCCAGGGCGGAGCACAGCATATACACGGCAAACATTCAATGCCGGGACACAAATTCACATAAAATACATAAACATAAAATTTTTTTTATTAAAATACACAATTTAAAACCGTCCTGCTGCTGACCCTGGATGTCGATTTGACAAATGAGTCCCCAATTTCCCACAGCCACCACAAAAACTTCTTTCCCCATCGCAAATGCATGCTTCAACTGTATTAGTCATGATGATGTTGTGAATAGATGGTGTAGTGGATTATGATTCGTATAAGCTTATCCCTTTATAAATGTGTTACCTCTTAACACTGTTGTTCCTTGTTGTTATATCTTGGATTAAAAGGCTAATGCTGAGACCTGGGTGACAAGCAGCCGCCAGGCACCAATCCAACTTCTTAACTGCAACTAACTAGTAGAATATGGATCCACTTCCATTCCAAGTCGGCAGGGTGCAGCAGAGGCACAAGCACTTTAAAGACTTGCTTAATAGAGTTGGGAAGCATATCTTATTATAAGGAATTTCGAAAACCAAAATACTCCAAAATTTTCCAGAGGGGTGGCTTTCTTTTCTGATGTTTCAATGTACACAAACTCTTGTTTCATGCACAACATTATATAAAATTATCTTCTGGCTATGTGTACAAGATGCATATGAAACCAATTAAACTTCTCAAAGACATTATGTATGTGTATGTAAATACAGATATATCCGTAATAACCCAAAAGCCAACATGATGATTTAGCAAAACTGATACATCGCCAACTTTGATTAAATATGTGTAACAAAAATTTTAAAATCTGTTCTTGCTTTGAAATTGTTACTGCTGTTTAATTGTGTGGTACTTATTTTGAAAGTTGTTGTTATATTCCAGGAACTTCATTTTTGTGGCTGCCACAAACTATGTTGAATTGGTTGAGACTCCATGAGATACTCATTGAAAACTATAACAAAACATGTAGCAGGATGTCCCACAAAAACAAAGATTTTGCAGTTTAATACACATTTTCCATGTTTTTATAATATAATCGATTAGAAAATGACTTCTATAACCCAGAAACAAAAACAGCGTGACTTGGTGTAATTAGTGGCATTTTAAAGGATTGGAAACCCCAACTGACTAACGCAAAGAAAGAAAAGGACTTGCTAACAGTGTGCTTTGTGAATGTATTTATTTTGTATCAAAAGCATTGCATAAATTAGTATAAAACTAGTAAATTAGAAGGTATGCCGGCAGCTAAATATATTTTGACCAAAAACGGGCAACAGCAACGGCTTTGTTTTGTGAATGAATTAATAAGATGAATTTAGTAGACGCAAAAGAGGCAATTTTTTAAAGACTGGTGTTCCTTAGGGTCACCTGGAGTCAGAAACTACTTGAAGGCACCAAAAAAAACCATTATATCACATTTGCTTGTAAACCCTCAAAAAGTAGGGAATTACTTTTCTATTTGTTGTCGAAGGCTTTCATGGCCAGAATCACTGGCTTACTGTATGTATGGCCATATTCCAGAAGCATTCTCTCTTGACGTTTCACCCACATCTATGCCAGGCATCCTTAGAGGTTGAGGGCTCTGTCAGAAACTAGGCAAGTGAGGTTTATATATCTATGTAATGTCCAGGATGGGGGAAAAAAACTCTTGTCTGCTTGAAGCAAGTGTGAATTTTACAATTGGCCAACTTGATTAGCATTTAATGTCCTTGTTGCTTCAAAGTCTAGCTGATTGTTGCCAGAGAAATCCTTTGTTGAGAGGTGTTAGTTGGCCCTGATTGTTTCCTGCCTGGAATTCATCTGGGTTTTTTTTAGTGTTGTTCTTTATTTACTGTCCTGATTTTAGGGTTTTTTAAAATACTGGGAGCCAGATTTTGTTCATATTCATGGTTTCCTCCTTTCTGTTGAAAGGAGGAAACCATGAAAGGAGGAAACCATGCTTGTGGATTTCAATTGTTTCTCTATGTAGAGATACAGTGTAATATTTTCTATATTTCACACGCTTTCTCTGTTTTTTCCCTATTTCTCTTCTTCCTTTTTCTGTTTTCTTATTTTATATTCTGTTTCAAACGATTGCAGTTTTTGGGAATTTATTTATTTATTTATTTGAGTTTTTTTATTTTTTTAAAAAAATAATAATAAGGAAATCAAACAGTTCTGTTGGGAAGGCAAACACTGCAAAGACAAAGAAGCCTTCTTTCCTGGGACCCAGAGCCCTGGAGCAGGCAGGGGAAATGTTTTGGACTTCAACGCCCACAATTCTGCCGGCTGTTAGGAATTGTGGGAGTTGAACTCCAAACACCTGGAGGGAAGGCCGAAGATTGCCCCCACTTGCTCTCTCTCGAGAGCCCGCTGCCTGGGAGAGCCGCTCCTCCCTGCCGCCGCCGCCGCCGCCGCCTCGCGGGGACCTACCCAAGTGAACAGCGCCTGTGCGGGCGCCTCGCGCGCGACCTCCATGGCAGCAGAAGGGGAGGAGTCATTGGCGGAAGCGCCCGCCCTGAAGTCAGACTGGGCGGGGCTCCTTCGCCGGGCGGAAGTTGCTTGGTAGGAAAGAGGTGCTGCTAGAACAGCCTGGTGTTGCTAGATACAGCAATAGAGCAGGAACCTGGAATCAGGCTGTTTTAACTGCCATGGCTCAATACTGTGGAATTGTAGGGATTGTAGTTTGGTGAAGTACCCAGCACTCTTTAGCAAAGAAGGGCCTTGCAAAACTACAACTCCCGGGATTTCATATGGCAGAGTTTAATAAGGTTTAATATTGACAAGCTGGAATGTGTCCAGAGAAGGGCGACTAAAATGATCAAGAGTCTGGAGAACAAGCCCTATGAGGAGCGGCTTAAAGAGCTGGGCATATTTTGCCTGCAGAAGAGAAGGCTGAGAAGAAACATGATAGCCATGTATAAATATGTGAGAGAAAGTCATAGGGAGAAGGGAGCAAGGTTGTTTTCTGCTGCCCTGGAGACTATGAGGTGGAACAATGGCTTCAAACTACAAGAAAGGAGATTCCATCTGAACATGAGGAAGAACTTCCTAACTGTGAGAGCTGTTCAGCAGTGGAACTCTCTGCCCTGGAGCGTGGTGGAGGCTCCTTCTTTGGAAACTTTTAAACAGACAATGGATGGCCATCTGTCAGGGATGCTTTGAATGCAATTTTCCTGCTTCTTGGCAGGGGGTTGGACTGGATGGCCCATGAGGTCTCTTCCAACTCTATAATTCGATGACATTAAAGTGCATTACTTCTGCTGTGTCCCAGCCTAGTGGGATGGTGGGAGTCCTATGGACATCTTGGAGGCATGTCTCTGTGCATTCAAGTCGCCTATCAACCTATGCAGGCATTCTTAAACCGCAGCCCTCCAGCTGTTTGGGTCTCCATTTCCCAAAAGCTCCAACCAGCTTGTTCAATGGTCAGGAATTCTGGGACACCTGGAGGCCCAAACAGCTGGAGGGCCACCTTTTGAGCATACATGACCTATGGCGACTCCACAGGGGCTTTATAAGCCAAAGAATAATCAGAAGTAGTCCTGCCAGTGCCTTCCTCTGAAACTGAGCCCTTCAACCTTACTAATGGTGATCCTGGGAGCACCCACACTGTAGAATCCAGTTTGATACCACTTGTAACTGCCATACCTCAATGCGATGAAATTATGGGAGTTGTAGTTTTACAAGGTCTCTGCCAAAGAGTGCGAGTGCCTTGCCTAACTGCAACTCCCGGGATCCCATAGCATTGTGCCATTTCCGTTAAAGAGGCGGTAAAGTATATTACACAGCAGGTGTGGACAAACCTGGGCTCTTCAGGTGTTTTGGACTTCAACTCCCACAATTCCTCGCAGCCTCAGGCCCCTTCCTTTCCCCCCTCAGCCACTTAAGTGAAGGAAAGGGCCTGAGGCTGTTAGGAATTGTGGGAGTTGAAGTCCAAAACACCCGGAGGGCCGAAGCTTACCCATGCCTGCAATAGTTGGAAGAGAAAGCTGAAGACAAGTGAAAACTACACGTCCCATGATTTTCACATTGATGGCCTGTTCCAAGTATTCCTGTTTTAGTATTTCTTTCAAATGGAGCCTTGTGTAACCTTTAAAACTAGCCAGTTTATTTCAGCACCAACTTTTGTCAGCTGCAATCTACCTCTTGAGATGCGCCTGAGGCTGTTAGGAATTGTGGGAGTTGAAGCTCAAAACTCCTGATGGGCCAAAGCTTACCCATGCCTGTTCCACAGTGTAGCTGCACTTGGGAAGCAGTTTCCTTGGATACACTGTTATCATTCTATGAATCTTTTATTCAATGTGAATGAATACATTTCCTTTTCTCTTTCACACGTGAGAGTGTATTTAATGCAGGCCTAGCATTAGGAGACCAATCTTGTGCCAACATTACCATGTTTTGAGGATGGAGGGAATTCAGGCTCCTTGCATCCAAGATGTAACCTGCATTGGCTTTTCTGTTGGTTTGCTGCCAGTGGTTTGAAGTTCTCTGCTGCGTGAAAACATCTTACGCCAGACAGGTCAGGAAATCACATATTTATAGCCACATCAGGAAACTTGAGTTTAGTTTGGATTACAGATACTGCTCATGAACCCAGTAGGAAGAGCCCAACAAGAACATGAGCATCCCATCAAATTGCCTTTATGCTTTACAGCACATGTGTGTCAATGTCATGTCATTTATGTGGCTCTCCAGATACTGGACCACAACTCCTGTATTCTTCATCATTAGACATCATGACTAGAGCGGATGGAAGTTTTGATACAGTAACACCCAGAAGGCTGTAGTTTGTTCTGTTTAGTCAGGAGAATGGGGTTTAAATTTAGATACAAGGCTTGTGATATAATTTCTGACTTTAAAATGCCCTTTAACCATTCCCCAATCTTAGAGACACAAGTGCTGTTGGGCTGTAATTCCCATTATCTCCAGTCTGCATGGCAGATAAGCAAAAGTGATGGGAGTTGTCAATTACTATCTGGGCAACCAAACTGGGTAAAAACCAAAAAGTACAGACCACTATATTATATATATACACACACACATATAGTTGGCCCTCTGTATCCACGGATTCTCCACCCATCGATTCAATAGCTCTTTGAAGGCAACATAAGGTGGTCTTTGATGAAAATGAGTTTGGACACCCCTGCTTCACAATTACATCGTTGACAGTTCATGCCCAGCTGTTTCAGAAGCTACAGAAATATGTAACGGGATCAGAGGGCATGATTCCCAATTACTTTCATATTTGATTCAAATAACAAAACGCACTTTGCTTGTTTGATTTTCTCTATTTTGTATTTGAAAATTGCATCAAGTTTTTAAAATGGGAAAACAGTTTGCCAAGCACTCTAGAGTTTTGAAAATTCTAGCACTACAATAAATCACTCTAAACTAGTACAGATTATGAACCCAAATCCATAAATCACACACATTCATATTAGAATCCAGTTCTTTCCAACATATGCTGTTCTTTATAAATGCAAAGGAAGTCAAATTCATGATCCCTCTTTGTTTTTCCTGTGTTTATTTAAAGCTTCAGATTCCTAATTCAACGTGTGTTTTAAGACAAAAATGTACATTACCCCCCCAAAAAAGGGTCGTCAAAAGGCAGATCAATTACAAATATACATTGAAGGAGCTAACTAAACAAAGATTAAAAGCAGGCACCTGTCTTCTGACGTCTCAGTAATAATTTGCTTCATAGAAGAGACAAGAGGACTCAGCAGCTGCTAAAAGGCCATGTGTTGCCCACTTTGGTCAGCTGATCTACTTCGACAACAGTGGTTAAGAGAGCAGGTGCCATTTTAAATTTCTCCCAGTTCCAGAATACTCTATGGATCACTGGCCTAAAATACTATGAGAAATTCAAAATGGTGGAAACATTCCTGACTCAGCTGCTCCTATGTAATCTGGGCAAGGCACCAACCATTGCTTTGTCATTGGGTTGGAACTGGGAACCCAAACAAGAACTAAGACTTGCCACCCCATTATCATCATATTACATATGGAGAGTTTTGAGAGTTTTTCACCACTTGATGAATTAGACAATCCCAATGTTAATGGAGTCAACAGATATCAGACTAACGAAAACTTATAAATAAGGTTCATTTATGAGGATTGAAAGATTTCTGTATTTTAGGTCTAGATTGGATGTGTTTTTATACTTCAGATCTAATTGTATCAAATGTGTGATGCTATTACATCAGATTCCTGATATTGAAGGATGGCTCTTGCATGACACTGTCCCCAAAGCTGATGACAACAAAGATTGTCAGCAGCTTTCTGATAAAATATAACATAATGTTTGAACAAGTATGGTATCTGATTGGAGAGCAAGAGATAGTACAGTTTTGTCTAGGCATATTAATCTATGTTTGCCCATTTACACATGCAAGTATTCGCTTCATTTCAAAATCTACCATTATGTGCATGATCCCAGTAAGGAAGTGTACATGAAGTATGACTTTCGCATGATAGTATAGTACATGGTTTAGGGCAGTGGTTCTCAACCTGTGGGTTGGCTCAGAACTCCCAGAAATCCCAGCCAGTTTACCAGCTGTTTGGATTTCTGGGAGTTGAAGGCCAAAACATCTGAGGACCCACAGGTGGAGAACCACTGATTTGGGGGTTGGTTCCTTAATAGCAGCTAATATTAGCCAGAATAATAAACTACATGGACCATTAGCTTTCCACTGTTTCAGTTTGCAAGATCCATCCTTCATCAATGTTCCTAGAGGAATTTAAGTCTGCAGATCATTAAGGAGGGACCAAAAAAGAAAAACGGGAAAAAGACACTTATATAAACATTGATATGAAGGTTTTGAGCATATGTTCCCATTTCATTCATCCATTGGTTTTACGAGAAGTGGCACTCCACATGAAGTACAGAAAGAGTATTTTCAGGTCTAAAGTGGATCGAAATCCATAATCCTTGAGTGCAGACTGGCTAAAGATCATGAGCTAAGTTAAATTCCCAGCTGCTTGCCCATTTTGTTGAGGGCATCACCAATGATGTCAAGTTCATGGCGTAAATCGTTCACTGCATTCGCAATGCCACTTGTGTCTCTCAGGAGTTGAATGCTTTGCGTATATGGGTTGTAATTCACTCCAAAGGGGCGTTTAATGGTCTTCGCAAATTCTCTGTTTTGATGGAAAAGAAACACATTTTGATTAAAAGCAGAGTGTTAAATCTTATTAATGTAACTTTCAGCCAATTACTTTTCTTTGTAGGCAGGGACAGCAGTATTGTATGGGTCAATACAACTTAAGACATACTTATAGGATAATACAGCTTACAGACTACATTTGTACACAGTACCTACCAATTAATACTAAAAGGAAAAAGACAAAAAAGAAGGGAAAGGGGGGGAGCAACAGGGCTTAGCTTTCAACCATCCAGATGATGTTCAAGTTTCTTTTCTTAACTAACTTCCTCTAATACAAAAATTATTGTTTGGTAATGTATCCTTCACATTCAGTAAGCTTACTTCTGCACATAATATCTACTAGTTTTCAAACGCCTTGACTGATGACATAATCCAATGGTCTCTGGAATATGCAAATATGCAAGGATATCAGTTTTGCTTAAATTTCTCTGTTGTATTATCCTTAATGAAAAAAAGTCAATTTATCGATTTCCACTAAATTGTACACGTTTCTTATTTGGCTGTTTATAATGTATTTAAGAAAGAGTCGGTTTCACAGTGAAGAAACATGCTATGATGCAGATTGTGGATGATCTAATTATAACAGTCCAGGATTGAGAGAAATGGGAACTACAATGAACTACAAGTCTCTTCATGCTTTGCTGCTCATTATATTAGCTCATGGAAGCTGCTACGACATTTGAAATATAGATAAACAGTGCTAAGGTAGTTTTACGACAGTGGTTCTCAACCTGTGGGTCCCCGGGTGTTTTGGCCTACAACTCCCAGATATCCCAGCCAGTTTACCAGCTGTTTGGATTTCCGGGAGTTGAATGCCAAAACATCTGGGGACCCACAGGTGGAGAACCACTGTTTTACAAGATCCTCAAACTTCAAGTCCCACGATTCCATAGCATTAAGCAATGTAAGTTAAAGTAATGTCAGACTACATTCATTCTACAGTGGTATGTGAAAGCAGTAAATCTGCTTTCCAAAAGTACAGTCATTTAGCATATGAAGATGTAAAATATAAACAGCCATCCCATATTCCCGAGAATGTGAGGAGGCTACTTTCCTTTTTGTAATTTATTCACTTTCAAGAAATATTTGTGTATATCATCTTTTAATCTCTCAGGTGCATTTTATCAAATTACCTCATCTTTTCTTTTGCATCTTCAAAGCTTTCAGAAATGAAGTAAACTTCCTGGAATGTAGTAATCATGCATTCTTGCTTGCAGGTGACACTTGGATCAAAAGGCTTGAATTTGGCATTTCCAGATAAAGCATGCTGGTTATTAGACAAAACAGAACAGCAAAGACATGTTGAGATATGTTTGTGTGTTTGTATTGGGCACCTTGTCAACAAATCTGCACAGGCTTAAAATAATGAGATTATATTGTGACCAGGCTCTGCCAATTTGTGTAATCCTCAAGAAACTTCTCTTACAGGTCTTCCTTTTGCCATGGCATGAAAACCAAGCAGTGCCTATCAAGGCATCATCCTAGAGCTCAGGAAATCCTAATCTAAGTCCACTCTATCAAATCACCACTGGTTGCAATTTTGTAAGGCACTTAAGTGAATCCACACTTGGTTTTGCTCACAAAGTTAAAGGAGCTAAAAGGTCTCACAGAAAGATTCAGCGCCTTGGGTATCCTCTTTAAAGTTCAGACTAAGTCCTGGAGTGGTAAACTGAATTTCTGATATAGAAGCCATTATATCACTGAAGTCTGACTGAAGATCATATTTTCAATCTATTACTATTGTTGAAGGTTTTCATGGCCACATCAACCCAACTTAAATTATTTCTGACAGAAATATAATGTTTGTTTTTTTTATATTCCCATGGGCCAATCTGGTTACTCTAACAGGTAGGCTGAGGCAAAACATTTTCTCTGAATGTTAAAAAATACTTAAAATCCTCTTGCTCCTGATTTGGTGCTTACCCTTAGTTCACTGATAGAAGAAAGCAAACCGGCTCCATAGGCTCTCAACCGGCCTTCTTGTTTGCATATGCCAAATTCCACAGTGAAAAAGTAGCACTGAAAAGGAAGAAAGTCAAAATGAAGACACATTGACACCTTGTTGGGAAAACTGGAGGGAGCCTTTAAAGGGTGAGTAGAATTTTTTTGTCATACAACCGTATAACAAGCAACACCTGTTGAGATGCCCTCTTCTACACAACCTTTAAAGGTACACATGTCAACTCCAGTTTTTTATTCTGGCAACCTTGATCAGCAAAGATGCAAGACGGTGGCACTTAAGTAGCAAGTGTTTGCATGCTTTTTTTTCCTTGATGCAAAGTAACATTAAAAACCAAGTCTCCAAACAAAGGCAAACAGCTTTTAGATACTTTCATCTTCAGTCTTTGCACACATCATCAACTATGGGCATTTAATAAAACCCCAATACTGGAGAGATTCCCAGACTTTTCTAAACCTCTTTTTCACCTCAAAAGAATGACGACATTGCGTCACTTGAAGGCTACTGTATAATCAAGGACCCGTTTATACTGCTCAATTATGGCATCATATCTATTATAAGCAATGATCTATGGAGTCATGAGTTTTGTATTTTAGGGAAGCATATTCAGAATTCTTAGCAAGAGCCAGGCCTGTAGCCAGGAATTTGTTTCGGGGGGGGGGGGGGGGCTGAGTCTGAGTGAAAGAGGGTCTACCCTAGCAAATCTTTTGTATCGTTACCCCAATACCCCCTACCCCCTAGTGTATCCCACTACCATCTCCCCAAAGGGACTTGAGTGACTTTAATTTTTTTAAAAAAAAACATATAGACATATTAAACAACAACTTAAAAATTCAAATAAAACAGTGTTCATCAAACAGCGGTAGTAAGCTATTGTAAATGTAGCCTGGGTATATAGAGTGCTAAATCTATTTTAAAGTTCAGCCTAATTTCTGGAGGACATTCACCACTGCCCTAAAATTGAAGCATGAGCGACCACTGAAGTAGACCCGAATGCCTGTCCATTTCAGTCCTGGGGAAACCTCAAGAAATGCCCACTGTGCCAGAAAGCTTTGCAGGTTCTTATATTTTTAATGAAACTTTTGTAGCTTTTCTGTGACAGCCAGCATGGAGAAATGTTTTGAGAATTTGTTTGATTGGACATCAGCCTTTGAAGCCCCATTTGTATATAGAAATCCACTGGACGATCTTAGGCAAGTCACACTCTCTCAGTCTCAGAGGAAGGCAAAGGTGATTGTTCCTCTGAACAAATCTTGCCAAGAAAACCCTATGAAATTGTCCCGAAAGCACCCAACAACAATGTTACATATCTTCAAGTTGACTGCAATTGAAAGTAACCCTACCCTTGGGTTTACTTGGCAAGATTTGTTCAGACTGTGTTTGCCAGTGTCTTCCTCTGGGACTGGGAGAGTGTGACTTGTCCAAGGCCACCCAGTGGGTTTCATGGCCAAGTGAGGATTTGAAACTTGGTCTCCATAGTCACAGTCCAATACTCAAACCACCACATCACAGAGAGCACCTATTGTCAGCATCCCTTTTGGAGGCAGAGGAACAATGCTACCAAACACAGAATTTTAAAATTTATATAGTAAATTTGGCAATGTTATATGTTATGATTCCAAAGCTAATTCAGTTGAATTTGTTAATGAAAACCAAAACTGAGTAACGAAATGACATATCAATCCAAAATGACATATGTTTTGATGCATGTCTATGAAAATGCTAAAAGGATACCAGGTAGTTTTAAGATGATCCCCTAGAATCTCTCCTCTTGTCTCATGAAGTTTGCAAGTCGGTTTTCCCATTAGAACCAATGTTCAAAACCTGTCCAAGCAGCTGTAAAATCAAATGCCCTGCAGATTCTTCTCAGAAGTGCAATTTCAATTCTTGATGCACTGAGGTGGACTGAGTGAAAATCTGAGATTCCCCCCCCCCCCRGCCCAAGACTATTGTGTGGAGGTTGCACCCCAACTGAAAGTGATTTTACCTTTCTCTTCCCCTCCCTTCCCCTTCCCTCTTTTAAGAAGGCACACATACAAAATCCACATTAAATGTAATACATAGTTAGACCTCTACATCACATATGCCCAGAATCTATATGAAAGAATAGGAATAGCTTGGAAATACAGTAGTCTTGTGTTGTAGTTCAGCATGTTGCTCGAGTTGCTACTCCTAGTAGCAGGGAAAACGGGTCTACTTTAGAGTCAAAGGGAGAACGGCAACGTCAGCACATTAGAGAAATCATTATGGCTCCAAGAGATACTGACACGTTCCCAGGTGTCTCCGATTGGGAGATGGGGGATGGGGAAGGGAGCAGAGGTGTAAAGAGGGCTGCTCGTGAGCCAGAGTTTGAAGGGGAATTACAAAGGAAGCGTATTTGGGAAATACTTTGTGCACCAACAGAGGATGAAGATTTCTTTGGGTTTGATAGGAGTTCTGGGACTGGGAGTGAAATGGAAGATGATGAGGAGTTAAATTGGACCCGTGTGCAAAACATAAGGGATATTTGTAACCAGCCCACCTCTAGTGAGGAATTTGAGGGGTTCACTGGGGATTGGCAGCCAGGGGACTCTTGGGAGGATCTGACCCCTGATAATCGTTGGCAGAGGTGGAGGGATGGGCATTCAGCTGCAGGTATGGGAGCAGCTGGGAGTGATGAAGAAAGGGTGGGGAGCTCATCAAGCTCTAAAGAAGAATTGTAAGATAAAAGGAGGTTCAGTTTGAACTGCAAATCGCAGTCGGCAAAGTGTCTTCATGGGACATAATTCTTTGTACCTGCCAACTTTCCACCTTGGGTCCTGGGCTATAGCCTCGTGTGTTCCTGCTTCCTTGGTGACTTCAGCATTCCAGCTTCGCTTTACTACAGAATTGACTATGGACCAGTTTGACTTCGCTTTTGGACTTCTGGACTTTGCTAATATCTTTGTGACTTTAACAACTTTTTGTTCTGAAAATACGTTTTTCCAGCTTTAAAGTCTGTGTTTATGCTTTGTTTTGATTTTTAAGCAATTCGCTTCATCTTTTGTTTAATCCAGATTATATTTTTGTTTCTCCAATTCACTTATTTTTGGTGCCAAATTGCTCCAGCAGACCTTAGCACTGCAGTTAAGTGCTTTGTAGGTCCTTTTGTTTTCAATAAAGCTGTGTTTTAACTGTTATCTTGTGTCTGGCATGATTTAAGGCATCTGGGTTTTGACATCTTGCTTATCCAACCTTTGTTCTTCCAACATTCTGTATTACCCAACGCAGTTTGCCTCCTGCCTGGATCCACAGCTGTTTCAATACATTGTGATGTTTTGGTGCTAAATTCATAAATACAATAATTACTTCATAATGTTACCATGTATTGAACTGCTTTTTCCATCAATTTGTTTTGGTGCTTAATTTGTAAAAGCATAACGTAATTTGACATTTAATAGGCTTTTCCTTAATCCCTCCGTATTATCCAACAATTTTGCGTATCCAATGTTCTGCTGGCCCATTCATATTGGATAAGTGAGACACTACTGTATGTGCAGAAATTCATTAATGTGTCTGTAGTAAATGTCACCCCTTACTAGCTGCCTTGGCAAACTAAGCAAAGAAAACTTTTATATGTCTTTAAAGACTGATTTTTGTGAAAAAGTAGCTTAAAAGCTCCACTTTATGGTAAGTTGGTTAAATGCACAGCCAATGATGCAGATCTGACTTCTTAAAATGTTTTTGGTTGTGTAGGCCAGAAAATTTAAGCAACAATATAGAGGGAGTTTGAATGGTGGGTAACCCTCATCTGTTTTGACCTCTCTTTAAAAGCATCATAAAGAGGTGATTGTGGGAAAACTTTCTGTAGAGTGCCCAGGCCCGTAGCCAGGATTTCGTTTCGGGGGGGGGGGGGGGTGAATTTTTCAGGGGGTTAGGGGGGGCTGAGTTTGGGGGGGGGCTGAGTCTGAGTGAAAGAGGGTCTAGCCTAGCAAACCTTTTGTATCATTACCCCAATACCCCCATGCATATGGGATATATTGAGCATGGTGATCAGATCATGATATGAATAAACATAACAGTTTAAATAATGTACCAGTAAGGCCATCTCGCGGACCACCATCAGAATTGCCTGGCTACATGCCTGGCAAGAGCATTATGGTGCTTCACAAACAACAATCTCAACTTTCACAGGAACCGGACAAGCCAATTAAAGTGGAATGATAGTGGTATGATTACACAATGTCAAAGTACCCTGGGAATCAAACATTACCTTCAGCATTTTTTTCACAAATACAGAAAGGCTATCTACGTCTGTCATGAAGGGGGAGATGATAGATCAGATGTATTTTTAAGAAGCCAGTAATAGAGTATATACACTGGAATTTTCTAATTTTCCCAATTTAGTTTAATTTAGGGGAGGCCTTTCTCACCTACCATTCCTATCATCCATTCCCACCTTCCCAATGTGCAGCATACCCAAGACCATGAGAAGGACATGGAAAAAAGTCATCCCTGTTTTAGTTGCTTCTTAACTATATAAACTCATTTAGGAACACAACAGATTGCTGAACAATCCTAGAAGTCTACTGCATATTGTTCTAAAAGCAAAGTTCAAAAGGATGGGAGCTATAACAGACTGAGATATTCATACTCTCCATCTCGCAATACTAACAACCCATTCGCCTAGGGAAAATCTTAATAAAGAAAGAAAAGTAACCTTAGCTGCCATTGGAAAAGCAAAATAAACTAATATTGACAAAGATTCAAAAGAGATGCCCCTTGCCCTATAGCCCTGAACATACAAAGCATGAGCAGGGCTATAGCCAAGATTCTTGGAGATCTCTCATTCACAGGATTGCAATAAGTCACTGCCAACTTGATGGCCAATAGCAGCCACACCTGAGATTTTAATCAAGTTCACAAAGCACATTTCTGCACCTTACGGACCAACAGAACTAGATTTTGATTTTGCTGTGATAGATTAACATAGCTGCTCATGTCAAAGGGGCAGTTTTGTACTATGTGATTCTCTTTGGATGATAACAAAAAATATCCTGTGGAAATTTAACAAGAAATTTATTTTGGGATAGTTATATCCATTAAGATTTATTGACTTCAGTAAAATCAAGTGAAGCAGAAAGGTCAGATGCAGACTGCAAACCCAAGTAAGGCAGAGTCACGCTGAAGGAAAGTTAAGATCTTAGGGAACTCAAGAAAAAGAAGGATACGCATTTCAAAAAATTCTGACCATCAACTAAATTGATGCTTCCTATTTATAACAATAACAATCTGAAATGTAATGGGTAAGGTTCAACGTAAATAGTTTTACTTGGTGCTTGCTTATTTTCCAATATGGCTTAACGCCTGCTGTCTAATGACCAATATACATCTAGTGTTTCCTGAAAGCTGCTACATCTTGTATGCTGTTGCTGGGAACATTTTCCTAAACTGCTACAAATTGTAATTGTATGCTTGCTTTGGTGTCACATTGCTCAGTTTGATTGCTGGACATCTGAACTGGCAAGTCATTAAATAAACCACTGTCTTCAGTTCACAAACATCTTCATCGTTGAACCATAAACAGTGCAAGTTTCCCTCTACAGGTTAGTCTGATGCAATACATTGAGATTTAAAGGAATTTAATTTGTCTATATCACATAATGTTTCCACACAATATTCATGACTGCTATTTACATAACATTTAAGCTTTGTTTTATAACATTTTTAAAGTACTTGGAGTTGTTAAGAGGGGTGTATGGTATGGAAACCAAATTACTGGAACCAAAGAACGTATTTCACTGAGCAGTGTCTTCTACTTACAGTTGCCAGCTTTTGAACAGCTTCATCAGATGCTCCAAGTGATGCTATGCCGATTTCCTGAGAGAATTGTGCAAAACTGGGTTCAGCCAGAAGAGGAACATGACCCAAAAGTTCATGGCAAGTATCACTAGAAAGCAGAGAAAACAAAATAACATTGAACTAACCAGATGCTCTCTTAAAGTTGCTATGTAAAAATACAGTAATGCTATCTTAGGCACCTTCTACACAGCCATATAAAATCCAGATTATGTGCTTTGAACTGGATTATATGGCAGTGCAGACTCATATAATCCAGTTCAAAGCGGACAATCTAGATTATATGGCAGTGTAGAAGGGGCCTCAGGCAGAGAACATTGGAATTCTCAAAAAGTCTGTGTGTAGATACATTGTGTGTAGATACAAAAAGTCTGTCTGTGTGTAGATACATTGGAAAACTTTTAGGTGCTGTATAAATAAATCCAACCAATTGTGGTCCCAAAGTATTCGTGAACTTTTTCTGGAAATAAAAACCCAACTCCCAGTGTACTTTTGAAATATTGAATTAGTTTGTGTGTGTGTGTGTGTATTTTGGTTATCTAGTCTGTGTGTATTTTGGTTATCTATCACTCTTTTGTGAATTTTGGAATTTGGTTCATCTTGTTCTTTGTCCAACATGATTACACTTGAAACTTTATTTTATTCATGTATGCTCCATGCTCCAGGATATGAAACATTTTTCAGTTTAAATTTCAAAACTAATATTTAGAGCAGCCTTCCCTCTACTCTCAAAATGTGTTGGACTACAGTCCCCAGAACCTCTAAGAACTTCTACAGCAGCATGGTTGACTGCAGGATTCTGTGGCCATGGTTTGGAATAAGTATTTTTTGGGGAAGGGAAATAGTTACTTACGGTTCTGGGGTGTAAAGAGGATCCGAGCTGTGCCTTACATACTGAGTGCAGTGAAATACTCTGAACGCTAAGCCTGCCAAGAAATCTCTGGGAGACAGGTATCCAGCAACCGGGCGGATTGTAAATCCAGTACGCTCTGCAAAAACAAAGCATGAAAGGAATAAAAAAATTCTAAGATAGAGGATTCTGAAAGTCATATTATGAGAAATAAACTTCCCCCAGCTTAGGAAGGCAGATGCATGTACATTTACTTGGAAGTAAGACAATTGAGCTGGATATAATTTATTTCGAAATTAGCACATGGGAATGGATTATCCAAGAGAATGGAGGAGATATTACCAGAACAGGTAACTTCTGGATACAAAACACCCTCTAAGTAAATTTGGCAGGGAACAGTAGTAATCCAAGAAAATGATGTTTCCAAGTCATAGAATAATAGAGTTGGAAAAGATTTCATGGGCCATCCAGTACAAACTCCTGCCAAGAAGCAGGAAAATCACATTCTGGACTAGAGTCTAAGATCTGAACAAACCCCTATCAGACAAGATAGATGATAGTGGTGATTATGAAGAAGGATGGAGGAAGAGGAAGAGAAAAAAAGGACTTCAAGACTTTGCTGGTTGTTCTAGGTGAGTCAGTTTTTGTAGCTTTCTATCTTTTCAGTTTTCATATGCTCAAATGTTTGCTTCGTCCCCTATTTCATCTGGTCAGCTTTTATGTCTGCTGGTTCCCACATACACACATCTTTTAACTTCTTGTAATTCAAGGCCATACTGTAATATAAAGATGAGCAACCACTTTTGCTTTGGAGCCCACCTGCCATCAGTTCTCACCTCAATTTTAGGCAACTCCCAGGAGTTCAGCTTTAGAAGAAAAGTGGAATACAATTAGAGCTCCAAAATATGACTTTAAAAAAATATGACTTCTAGAATTTTCCACCAAGTTTGACTATTGACTATGCTGCCTGAGGGGTTATAGAAGCTGAAATCCAAAAATGTAATGTTATCAAGCTCTTCTATCAAGAAAAATAAGCTCCCCGCCCTTCTTGTAACTGTAAAAATGGGAAAAAATGCTCCAACAGCCATCTTTCCCCATTACCTTTGAGAAAACGTGATACATCCTCAAGTTGGGGTATGTTGTCTTCTCGGTAGCCGCAGTGTTTGGATAGTAAAGGTAGGTTTTTAAGATATTCTCGACAAGCATGGGTTGGGTAGAGCTTATTGAGCTCTCGGAATACGGTACCCCAAGTTCTGATCTCCTCCTCAGTGAATTCAACTTTTGGAATTGGGTCACCACTGTAACAGAAAGGCAGAATGAACTTTAACTAATTAAACACTGAGTTAAAAAAAGAAAACAAACTGTGTCAAATACCTCTCCTTTCTACGAGAAATTTGAATCAACCAATGGTCTGTGTTTAACTGCCATACTCTGTTTTATTTATTTTTTAAACACATTAGTGACTATATTTTCCCAAGCTTTAGGTATGGCCTGTTCTTCTGAAGCTCTGAATGGGATCTGATAACACCTCTAAATGTGAACACTTGCGAATTTCAATCTATTACTTTAGATTAATTAACAGAATACAATATCCAAGCTCTGGGAGCTACGAACACATCTACACTGTTGCAGGGGGTGGATCCCCTTCCCTTTTCTTTTCCCACCTCAAGAGTCCAGATAAGCATTTCCAAGAAACCACCATGTTTCACAGAAGTTCCAAAAGCCACTTTTCTAGAGATAAGTTGTCTACAAACAGAAAAGGAAGGAAACTTATTTTCTCTGTTGTGCATTTTCTTTGCACAATGAACTCCTACACACAATCACTTCTCCCTCCCCTGTTTCTTGCGGAGAGAGAGCTTGGAGGGCTGTTATGAAATAAATAACCTTAGCTTCATCCAGACATTATTCACACACATAGACTTTGGATGTGTGCAATTTACCACATCATATATTCAAAGAATGTATGGACATAGTTTCTGTTGTTTATTTATGAAATTTGAGAGTAGTTTCCTTTCTGTTGAGCTGAGTAAAAAGTGTACCTAAACAACTTAGTTACAGCAGTTTAATGCTGTTTTTGTGACTTCTACTCTTTGAAAACCTAGGATATACAGGTTTTGTACAAGATTGAGTATCTCTGCTGGAGACTCTAGCCCAGGGGTCCTCACACTTTTTAAACAGAGGGCCAGATCACAGTCCCTCAAACTGTTGGAGGGCCGGATTATAATTTGGGAAAAAACCCATGAATGAATTCCTATGAACACCGGGATTGTGGCGCAGCTGGCTGAGTGTCAGCTGTATTAAGATCACTCTGACCAAAAGGTCATGAGTTCGAAGCCAGTCCAGGTTGGAGTGGGTTTCCAACCATTGTGTAGCCTGTTGTCGACCTTTGCAACCCGAAAGACAGTTGCATCTGTCAAGTAGCAAAATAAGGTACCACCTAAAAGTGTGGGGAGGCTAAATTTAACTAATTTATGAGGCCATAAAGAAGCACTCCAGCGGGAAGCATGCGAGGAATGCGGAGGTACTTCATCAGCATCGCAGATGGACGATGAAAGCGACAGCTCCCCTGGCAGCCAGAAAAAGTTAAATAGCCTCTGTGTATGTCTATATATGTTGTAAGTCAAAATTGGCATTGAATGTTTGTCATATATATGTACACTGTAATCCGCCCTGAGTCCCCTGCGGGGTGAGAAGGGTGGAATATAAAAGCTGTAAATAAATAAATAAAATACATATCTTATTTGTAGTGCAAATAAGAAATACAATAATTAAAATGAACAATTTTAAGAAATATAAACTTATTAGTATTTCAGTAGGACGTGTGGGCCTGGTTTTGGCTGATAAGATTGTTGTTGTTGTGTGCTTTCAAGTTGTCTTAGGTTGGCCCTTAGTGAGGGCCGGATAAATGACCTTGGAGGGCCATATCTGGCCCTCGGGCCTTAGTTTGAGGACCCCTGCTCTAGTCCATTCATTTTGAACCACACCTGCAGCTGTTATTTGCCATCATGTTGGCTTCCATTTATAGTTATCTGTGTGATTTCCATGAACATGAGCCAGATCTACAGCCCTGTTCTGGTCTTAAAACATGACACTATAGCTTCCTTCATGGAGTCAATACATCCTTAATCCAGTCATCCTCTTTTGCTACTGCTATCCACTTTGCTGGGCAATAGGAATTTTCAGTCCCTTAAAAAACTGCAAATCCTCAAATTCCATAGGTTGGTAGTAATTAAAAAAGATATCAAGTTGCTATTACTCTGTAGTGTAGATACACTCTTCATCTAATATCTGGTGGGAAACAGAAATGCTATTTAATGGGCAGTGAAGGCAGATTTTTTTTCAAATTGAAGTGGATGACCCTCTTACACAAACCTGAGACACACAGTCTGCCAAGGATAAGGATTGAAGTGCTAGATTTAGTAGAGCTGTGGGGTTCAGTTGCAGAAGCGGGTCGGGGGAGACCTACAGTTCCTGTGAATTTTGAGTGCTGAAAAGAACTGCCTTGCCTCTTAGTGAATCTTTACATTTCAAAGGCAACCAATTACTAAAAATGTATTATCAAAGGCTTTCATGGCTGGAATCACTGGGTTCTTGTGTGTTTTCCAGGCTGTATGGCCATGTCCCAGAAGCATTCTCTCCTGATGTTTTGCCAGCATCTATGGCAGGCATCCTCAGAGACACATAACAACCCAATTACTAAAAATACACAGGGCCTCAATATTGCATCTTCCAAATTCCCTGCTCAAATCTGCTGTTCCATCTCTAACAAGATCCTGTAAGAAACACTGATACGTACTGTTTGTAATTCATAGCTAGGTCTGCAAAATACTTCCGTCTCTTCCGATAAACATTGTCTTTGAAACCCTAAAGGTGAATTAAAACAAAAATCGCCCATCAGTCTTTGTGGTTAATATGCTTAGAATGCCAAAAACAAATGAAAAAGCAAATATCTAAAACCCGTCAAAGCAGTTTGGTAGGAGGTCAGTTTTCAGAAACATTCAGTACAAGAAAATGCATCCAACTGGGGGTTTGTTTTGTTTTGTTTTGTTTTTTTACGTTGCTTTGGAACATCATTAAATATATAAGCTCCTCTAAATCAGTGGTGCAGACTCTACTGCTCACACCCACTGCAGAAGGGCCATTTGAAAATAGATGAACTTTTGTAGGTTTCATTTTTGCAGATTGAATATTTCACGGATTTGACTAATAGGAGTTTCTAGGTCTTCCAGGGTGATCATGTGCTTCTCTGGATGTTTAACATAGAGGTGTGTTGGAAGATCTTGATCAGACATAGACAAGCTTTGGCCCCCCAGGTGTTTTGGACCTGGGGCCTGAGGCTGTTAGGAATTGTGGGAGTTGAAGTCCAAAACACCTGGAGGGCAGAGTTTGCCTATGCCTGATCTAGAGATTCTGACGGGTTTTAAAAAATCATTTTTAATTCATGATTTTTCCATTTACGCAGGGGTTCTGTGCCCCTAACCCCAGCAAATCTGGAGGACTAACTGATTGTGCATTAGAACCTATATGTGCTCCATTGAATTAATGGAAGCCAATGTCATAAGAGCTTTTTGGCAAAATTGGGTCTTTTTAGCATTTCATGGAGTTTGGGAAGAAATATTTTCCACAACCCTCTGCCACCTCATATATATATTATCTTCAAAGCATGTTGTTATATTATAGCTGTAGATATAGCCTATGTGACTTCAGCATTTTATATTTCATAATTATTTAAAATGTAACAAAGTGTGACCATGTAGTGAATAACTAACATATTAGATCAGGCATGGGCAAACTTTGGCCCTCCAGGTGTTTTGGATTCCAACTCCACAATTCCTAATGACCAAAGTTTGCCCATGCCTGTATTAGATATACAAAGTTAATTCACTTTGCATATATAATGGTTAAGACAATATTTAAAACACTGAGGGGCAAATGTTAATGGAAAATTACTTACAGGATGGTCTGCATCTAGATCGGATCCATACATCAGAACACGGTTTGAACACTTATCTAGATCCGAGATCTTCTCAGGGAACCAAGGGGTATTTTCCATATCTAGGAAGTGGTTGAAACCCACATTGTTAATAATGTTTCAAAGTTGGTTAGAAGAAGAGAACAGTTCTCATGAATTACTTTGACAGCCACAAATGAAATCTTGTTGTTAAGGAGTTAATGGGGAAAGGATGAGAAAACATATCACTATCTGACATGTACAGAACGCTGAGCACTTCCTATTGTCTTAAAAATAACTTAGCCCTGCTATTTCCCTCACAATTCCCATTACATTTGTATAACTCTTGCCAGCTAATGCATCTGTTTCTAAAACATTTGTTATGGCCCAAATAAATATCTCTTAAGCACTTCTCATTGTCTTTTCCAAGAAATATGTTAATAGAAAATACTAAAGAAGGTTCTGTCTAGAAGATAAAAATGAGACATTTCCTTGAAAGGGAAAAGCATTCCAGTATCATAAGTATTGGTTCACCACCACATCTTTAAAATATATGTGCATTGCTAGCACACTACTTTTTTATATTCCATCTTACCATCTTCCTGCACAGTGAAATTGTCTGTTGGGTTCACAGAAACAACGTTGACATGGGATTTCAACAGTTGGAAGATCTCATCTAGCTGCTCCCTGTTGCTGTCACATGCTATGAAGATCTCAAACTCCGAATTTCGTCTTCTAGATTTTCGAGATTCTATGTGCACAAGGTTCACATGTTTTTCCTGGTAGATGAAAACACTTTGGTTATATATATATACTCCACTTTGGCAGGAAAATCGAAATGCAAAGATACAGAATGGGGGACGCCTGGCTCGAGAGCAGTACGTGTGAAAAAGATCTTGGAGTCCTCGTGGACAACAAGTTAAACATGAGCCAACAATGTGATGTGGTGGCAAAAAAAGCCAATGGGATTTTGACCTGTCTCACTAGAGATCTAGGGAAGTCATGCTAAAAAAAAGAAAGAAAAAAAAATAAATTTGAAGAGGCACGAATGTGAAAAAGATCTTGGAGTCCTCGTGGACAACAAGTTAAAAATGAGCCAACAATGTGATGTGGCGGCAAAAAAAGCCAATGGGATTTTGGCCTGCATCAATAGGAGCATAGTGTCTATATCTAGGGAAGTCATGCTACCCTCTATTCTGCTTTGGTTAGACCACACCTGGAATATTGTGTCCAATTCTGGGCACCACAATTCAAGAGAGATATTGACAAGCTGGAATGTGTCCAGAGGAGGGTGACTAAAATGATCAAGGGTCTGGAGAACAATCCCTATGAGGAGCAGCTTAAGGAGCTGGGCATGTTTAGCCTGAAGAAGAGAAGGCTGAGAGGAGATATGATAGCCATGTATAAATATGTGAGAGGAAGCCACAGGGAGGAGGGAGCAAGCTTGTTTCTGCTTCTGGAGACTAGGACGCAATGGAACAATGGCTTCAAACTACAAGAAAGGGATTCCATCTGAACATGAGGAAGAACTTCCTGACTGTGAGAGCCGTTCAGCAGTGGAACTCTCTGCCCGGAATGTGGTGGAGGCTCCTTCTTTGGAAGCTTTTAAACAGAGGCTGGATGGCCATCTGTCAGGGGTGATTTGAATGCAATGTTCCTGCTTCTTGGCAGGGGGTTGGACTGGATGGCCCATGAGGTCTCTTCCAACTCTTTGATTCTATGATTTTCCACAGCAACTAAGAAGCAAATTTTGTGCTTTTCCCCTTTATCCTACATCTCTTTAGTCAAAAACAATTATGGTAGTATGGTACTAAGTAGTCTACTAAGTAGTCTACCAAATAATCAACACTTTTCAGTTCAGCCATCTCCATAGTGAATATAACCTTATTTGTATTATTCATGTTCAGTATGTTCAGTACAAACAATTTTTATCTTGGGGTGCATCTACAATATAGAATTGGTGCAGTTTGACACCACTTAACTGCCATGGCTCAATATTATAGAATCCTGGGAGTTGTAGTTTTACAAGGTCTTCAGCCTTCTCTGCAGAGTGCTGGTGCCTCACCAAACGAGAATAGACAATTGAAACAGGTCCACAGGGAGAGAAATGGGGGGCTATACGTGTTAATGGAATTGATTTAGCAGAAATAAATGCCATTAACATTTTTAAAAAGAATATATACGAGACTGAATTACTTTGGCAGGACGGTATGTTATACGACTTCCAAGAAACCAAGCAATGTAATATACAGCCCTGCCAAAGCAATATAATACTGTATATATTCCTTCTAAAAATTTAATTAGATTACTTCTGATTATACACCTTTGGCAGAGCTGTTTCTGTTATATTTTAAAGAGTATATAAAACAAAGGACTAAAGTGTTGCACTGTGCCTTCAATTCATGTTAACTTGTAATGACTCTATCATGGGTGGGGGGAGAGAGATTTGTTCAGTGGAGAGTTTCCCTTTGCCTTCCTCTGAAGTGGAGAGAATATGACTTGTACACGATTGCCCAGTGGGTTTCATGGCAAATTGTATTGTTTAAGTGCATTCACTCTACTGCTAACGCTAGAAGCTTCTGTTCTGCTGCCGTTGCTATTGTCGCTGAATTACATTTTAAAATTCGTATTCCTTTTTTGAAACGACGGTATCCCAAAATCTGGCTTCGATCCATTGTCCATGTTGCTTAATATTGTCCCCCATCTTCAAGAGAAGAGGTTCTGCTGCTGGGATCTGTACATCTCACGGTCACCTACAAACTCCATCCAGATCTTCTCCAAAAGGCTGTCACAATTTATTATGTCTGCAATTGGCCACTCACTTCAGTTCCATTTTTCTCCACTCCTTTTTACTCAGATTATCAAATGCACTAATAAGGTGCTGGCCTAAACTGTGTGATTTTCATTAAATGATCTTCCTGCAGTCTTGCTGATTAAAAAGGTCCTTCTCAGCAGTCTGGCTTAGGGACTTTAAAAGGCACTATTAATTATGATAATGATGCCAGTGTTGAAAGCTCTTTAAAATTAAAATATGACTTACCTGCTGTGGTTTATAGATTTATTTTAAAATAATTTAAGTAGTCCATGGAGACCCCCCAGCAATTTTCAAGCTTAAAAAGTGCTGAGCTAGAAAATGGATATGTGTGATTTCCCTCAGAGAAATGACTGACTGAGCTCCACATTAAATTACAAGTTGCACAGAGGGTCAATTAGCTATTCATTAATGTTTACTGTTCAAATATCTTATATGTGTGTTCTGTGTGGGAAGATTCAGGGACAGATGATGTATGAAAAATATAATCTTGTCTTGTGAGAAAAGTGAAAAGTTGTAGACATCTTTCTCTACTTCGAAGGGGACTCAAGGCGGCTCACATATAGGCAATTATTCAATGCCATTAAAACACTTACAATTCCAATAGCATTAAGATAACATTAAATTAAAATTAAATTAATGCATATTAAGCTTTTAAAAACATTTCATTCTATACTGAAGGGTTGGCTGAAGTGTTCAAGATACAAAACAAAAGCATAATAGAAGAGTAAAATCTATGTGCTAGTTGTTACTACCTTTATTGTGCTTGCTATACATAGCAGAGACTGATTACCTGGAAGAGTTTCAGAGCTTTGACAAGTCCTCCAACTTCATTATTTAAGGAGAATATGACTGCGGTTCTGCTCCTTTCAGTTGTGTTGTCTTCATTTTCTTTATTGTCTTCATTCCGGCTGTAGTTTGACTTGTAGATCTAAAAATGATTAGTAAGGTAATCAGTCTTAATTCGAAGAGGTACAATTTTTTTTTCTAAACAAATAGACAAAATGTCAAATGTATACAACCTGTTAAGTTCAAAATGTTTGCACAGCGGTACTTCTCACTCGATACTATCATGACTTTTTGAAGCCCCTGGTGGCACAAGGGGTTATACCCTTGTGCCGGCAGAACTGTTGACCAAAAGGTCGGCGGTTAGAATCCAGGGAGCGGGGTGAACTCCCATCTGTCATCTCCAGCATCTCATGTGGGGACATGAGAGAAGCCTCCCACAGGATAGTAAAACATCTGGGCATCCCCTGGGCAATGTCCTTGCAGACAGCCAATTCTCTCACACCAGAAGCGACTTGATGATTCTCAAGTTGCTCCTAACACAAAAAAAATCATGAATTTCTGGCATATCATTCACAAAGCTGCTGATTTTTCTCACACAAGCAGTATCCACTTTCATTCAAGTAAAAATGTGTCTCATTCAGAAGGCTTCAAACTGCAGCTTCTTGATCAATTGTTGCAATTCTCCCCATTTCCAAAGATATACAGGCATTGTCTTAAGTCAGTTTAGAAACATTTTTCCTTACATTAGCACCATTAAATACACACACACACTACAAATTATTAGATACTTTCTATTGTCATATCTGGTACCCCTTTGTAGTTTACCACTCTCTATGCTAATTTAGATATAGTGTATATTTCATGACAAAATCTGAATCTTTTGTCATTTTGCTCATCCCAACTAGTGTACAACCACAGAATCAATAACATCGACATAAGTGCTGGCCCACCATTCTCCATTTGATTCAGTATAGACCCTGGAAAGCACAGACAAAGGACTGGTGCCAAGTTTGAAATTATATTTACAGTTTGAAAAGGAAATTAAGATGGATTACCATCTGAGTAAACACGCATAGACGTGTGCTATAAAACCTCTCTCCTGCAACAGCTATATTAATTAGAATGGGGGCAAGCCTTTAATGTATATTATAAATCATTCGTAAGTATGAAATAAAAGTACAGCTCAACTCCTATTCTTTGAGCCTTAGCATTTTCCCCACAAACTGTTCAACTTCTGGTTAAAAATTAGATCTTAAAATAGATATGTTTTGTTTTGTCGAAGGATATATTTTGTTGCTGTTGTTTAAAGAAATAACAAAAACAACAGCAAGGTGCAAAAACCATGTACAGTTTGTCCTCCACATTTGCGGGTTTTATTTTTGTGGATTTGATTATTCATTGATTTGGTTAAAATGTTATCTCTGGAATCTGTCAATCATGCTGCAGGACTTGGATTCCTAGCTGACATTTTTTAAAGTCCCATCCTTCTGTGCCTCTAACAAGTATTAGGAAACGGTAAGGCTCATTCCCACACGAAAAAGAGCTGCTTCTGCAAGTCAGGCTGCTGTTAACAAGGCACAAGAATATATTGTTTGGTTTTTCTAATTATTTGGCAACTAAACCCAATTTCCTGCATGGCAGGGGGTTGGACTTAATGCCCCCTGAGGTCTCTTCAACTATATGATCCTATAAAATTGGTCTCTATGGTACTAATAACATAGTTGTCACATGGAAGCTTCCTGTCATTCTGGTTTCAACAGAATAGTGCATAACTGGAAGTGGAGGAAGTGAGTGTGGAAACAGCAAATATCTTATCATCCCAAAGACATTCTCTTGCATCAGCCAACCTTGTAGGCACTGCCCAGTCCACAATAATTCTGTAGGCTGTTCCACCATCCAATGGGTCAGAATATGGAGAATCACTTCAAATATATACATATCTTATGTATCCAAAATGAAAGCTTACTTCAGAAATTCAGCCACTTTTTCCATAAGAAAGAGGCCGTGAGACAAAAGTACACCAAACTGTGCGTACCAATCACCAGCTTCCCTTTCTACAGAATGCTAGAGCAAGGTCACTGACAAATACAGACCTTTTACAGGAGTGTTCTTCCCTTGTAGCTCTCAGACTTTGCACATCCATTATGGCCAATGCCATAAAGTATCAATTTATGATGTATTAGTTCTACAGCGTGAATTATAACAATGTTCTAGAAATTGTAGTCCATAGATGTGACACTCCCAAACTCTGGCTTATAACCACAGAGCCAGCTGTTGTAATTGTACAGTGCAGGTACATTGAGGAACTTCTCCATATGTCACCCTAAATGTCAACCCTGAATGTCACAAAAGGTTTCATGGAAGGAGCAGAAACAGACAAAAGAGACAGTCATGGCTATGGCCCACAGTCATTTCTGCATTCATATGCTCCTCTGTTGCCAATCCTTGGCTCCCTGTGTCCTTGCTTAGAAATATCTGAAGATTTAGAAGCCAAGGAACAATCAAAAGGACTTTCAATGCTCAGTAGGCAAAGCTTTACATGCCCATCAAACTCCCTTTCTCTTCAGACTTTCTCCCTCACTAATCTTACTTCTTTGCCTATATCTCCTTCCATTATTTTGCCTCCATTCATTGACGGACATGAATTTTTCAATTCATTGTCAACCTGACACTTAACAACATTAATTAAATTAAGGTGGAGTTTACATGAGGCATGTAATTGATCTAGTGTAGAGAATCAGTATTCCCTTGATCCAGAAATTAGATTTATTTGTTTATCTATTTGAAACATATTGATTCTACTGTTCACCTGAAGAAAGAGGACAAAATGACAAATTCAGCCGCCAGTTCTTAAATACAATGCTTTTTTATTGTGGCATACAAAAGACGATCTCCGTTGTGTTGTTGTGTGATCCTAAGTAGTTTCCCACTTATGGTGACCATCAGGAGAACCTATCATGAAGTTTTCTTGGCAAGATTTGTTCAGAGGGTATTTGCCTTTGCCTTTCTATGAGGTTGAGAGAGTGTGACTTGCCCAAGGTCACCCAGTGAATTTCCATGGCCAAGCAGGGATTCAAACCCTGTTCCCCAGAGTTACACAGTCCAATGTTCAAACCACTATACCACACTTGTTTACATTAAAGACCTTTACATTGAAAGGCTTGTTTTGAGGATTTCAGGTTTTCTCGATATTACTATAAAATTCTGGCGCACGTACAACCCTAAAAAGGAGCCTTGGAATCTTTTCTGTTTTATCTGTGTTGAGTAAAGATGTGTTAACAAGAAAACAAAACATGAAAGAAAGTTTTTTAACATTAAATCAAGTGAAGTGGCTAATCTATTGCAACAAACATCAAAAGATGTTAATGGGGCATCTGAAATATTGTACGCCTTATTGACATATATATCCATGACAGTTTATATTCAAAAAAATGAATTGCCTTCTAATGTCCAAATATTTTGACTTTTAATGCAGAATTTAGGTTTGTATTAGGAGACCAAACCAAGAAAAACCATATATAAATCACTGGCTACATAACTTACCTGCTTCCTGCCCTTTTCCACTTCTTGACTGTGGCTATTGCCTCTTTCTGTCTACATAGTTATATCTATTTCTGTCTAGATTTGCTTGGTAGGTCTAGCCCTGCAGCATGGAATCTGAATGTCCAAAGAAATCCTCCATAAGAAAACATAGTTCACAAGCAGAGGGTCAGTTTCCTCATCTATGGACCCCCATCTCCCTAATCTGCTTGAAATCCCAAGGAGAGCATGTTTAAACTGCTGACATTAAGAACAAGTTCAGCAAAGGTAAATCTCCTTCTTACCTTCTAAACCAGGCTTCCCAGCCAGGGCTCTTTCCTGCAAGTTCCCTGTTAAACCTTAGCAATCCCAGTTCATTGTGGATACCAGAACCACCAATTTAGCAGACAGTAGCTATATATATGACTCTTCACAGTTTGCTGTCAAGTGAACAGGCAGTTTCAAATGGAAGGAGCAGAAACAGAAATAATTAGTTGGATAGTGACTATGTTCTCGATGCTTTTAATTGTGAATAGCAGTGGCCAGTATCTCTTGTGTCAATAGAATGTCCTGGGTTTTAGTTCCAACTTTAAAGGGGCATCTTAAACAGGTCCTTACCACAGAATCTCAGCCCACAGAACCACCAGAGCTACCTCTGGTTTTGAAATGCTCTGAATAACAGTGATAGTGTGATATAATACAGTGGGTCCTCAGTATCCACTAAGGCTTGGCTCCAGGACCTCCTCTGGATGGCAAAATGTGTGGATACCTAAGTGCCATTGTATACAATGTTGTAGTAAAATGATGCCCTTTATGTAAAAATAATGAACAAACCCAAAGTTTACTCTTTGGGATTTAAACAGTACTTTCAAGCCATAGATACTAGAAGCCAAGGATATAGAGGGTCGAGTGAGTTATTAAATAAGAACTACTCACTGGAAGTCCATGGGCAAATTTGGAAACCCAGAAGGTATTCTCTTGTCCCCTCATTTGCTAACCTTGCCTTAAAGAAGTGTGTATTTATGGCAACCTACGAAACAAATGTGAATGAGCACCCGGAATTATCCAGATTGTATGTATATATGAATCCAAAGGCCCTAAATACTCTAAAGCAGTGGTTTCTAAACTTTGGTTCTCCAGATGTTTTGGATTTCAACCCCTAGAAGTCCCCAGGACCCTTCCACTGGGTTATCTAAGTCCACACTGCCATATATTCCAGTTCAAAGCAGAAAATGTGAGATGTTATTCTGCTGTGTGGAAGGGGCCCCAGATAGCTTGGCCAATAGAAATTCTGGGGCTAAAGTCTAAAAGTCTGAAAAATTGAAATTTGGGGGATACTATCCCTTCAAACCTTGAAAGCTACGCAAGGTCAGCCCTGGTTAGCATTTGGATGCAAGACCACCAGTGAAAAGCAGGTGCCGTAGGTAAGATTTAAGAGGAAGGAGCTGGCAAAAACAGTTCTGAAGATTCTCCACCTAAGAAAACCCTATGAAGTTCATCAGGTCACCAGAAGTTAAGAGGCAACTTCAGGGCACACACACAAACAATTAGGTTAAGTGGGCTTTACATTTTCTAATTGCAGAGGTCTGGAGCAGACAGAACAAGAGCTTATCCCAAATTAGTTCTTCACTGCCTTCTGAATGATTTTGGATCCTAAATAGCTCTACTGTAAGTGAGCTATTTTGGTTTTGTAATTAACCATCATCAGTCTTGTCCGCCCCAGATGCAAGAACCCTCTCTTCTTTCTCTCCCTGCCTGAATCTGGACTGTTTTTGTAACTTAACTCAAGTGATGCTGGAGGAACCTCACTTGTTAATACAATATAGTCTCACTTATCCAACCTTCGCTCATCCAACATTCTGTATTATCCAACGCAGTCTGCTTCCCGCCTGGATCCACAGCTCTTTCAATACATTGCGATATTTTGGTGCTAAATTCATAAATACAGTAATTACTACATAACATTACCGTTATGCTTTTTCTGTCGATTTGGTATAAAACATGATGTTTTGGTGCTTAATTTGTAAAAACATAATGTAATTTAACATTTAATAGGCTTTTCCTTAATCCTTCCTTATTATCCAATATTTTTGCTTATCCAACATTTTGCCGGCCCATTTATGTTGGAAAAGCGAGACTCTACTGTAAGTGTAAAGAATGGAAGAGGGCTCTGTGCAAGCAAGAAACCCATCTATGTATTCAAAGAGGGGTGTGGAAAGAAAGGGGGACCTTGGGGCATCTTCAGAAGCGACCCACTTGTTTCAGCAGAACTGTTGAGAGTGACACCCCAGTTTTTCAGACGCATCTCAAGAGGTCTGCTGCAGCTGACAAAAGTTGGTGCTGAAATAAACTGGCTAGTTTTAAAGGTTACACAAGATTCCTTTTGAAAGAAATACTAAAACAGAAATACTTGGAACAGGCCATCAATGTGAAAATCATGGGACTTGTAGTCGTCAGCCCAGCCTTCTATTCCAACTAGTACAGCCATGGGCAAATTTGGGCCCTCCAGGTGTTTTGGATTTCAACTTTCCCAATCCCTAACAGTCTCAGGTCCCATCCCCCCCCCCCCCCCCCCCCCAGCCACTTAAGTAGGAGTTGAAGTCCAAAATATCTGGAGGGCCCAAGTTTACCCATGCCTAGTGTAGATAGACCCTCTGTCTTCCAGGAGCCGCTCAAACTATGAAATGAAACTTGTTTTCCATCTCTCTAAAGTAGGTATGGGCGAACCCAGGCCTGGGGGCCGGATGCAGCCCTTGGGCTCTTTCTCAGGCCCTCCTATCTCACACCATCCTATCTTCCTTCTCTCTTTCCTCTCTTCCTTCCCTCTTTCTCCTTCCATCCCCTTTTTCTTCTTCCCCTCTCTCTCTTTCTCCTTCCTTCCTCCTTTTTGCTTTCCTTCTCCTCTTTCCTCCCCCTCTCTCCATTCCCTTCCACCCTTTTGTCCTTCCTCCTTTCCTTCCTTCTACCCTTTTATCCTTCCCTCCCTTTTGTCTTTCCTTCCTCTTTCTCTTCCTTCCATCCTTCCACCCTTGTGTCCTTCTCTCCTTCCCTCTCTTTTGTCTTTCCTTCCTCCTTACCTTCCTCCCTCTTTCTCCTTCCATCCTTCCCTTCCACCTTTTTGTCCTTCCTTTCTTCCTCTTTCCTCTTCTTCCCTCTTTCTTCCTTCCTTCCTTCCTTCTTTTATCTTCTTCTCTCTTCCTTCCTTCCTTCCTTCCTTCCTTTTCCTCCTCCCTTTAGTCCTTCCCTTCTCCTCTTTCCTTTCCTTCCCCCTTCCTTCCCTCTTCCTCCTCCCTCTTTCTCCTTCCATCCTCCTTTCCTTCCTTCTCTCTCTTCCTCTTCCCTTCCTTCCATCCTTCTCTTCCATTTCTTTCATCCCTCCCTTTTGTCTTTTCTCTCCTCCTCCCTCTTTCCCCTTCCATCCTTCCCTTCCATTCTTCCTTCCTTCCTTACCCCTTTCCTTCTCTCTTCTTTCCTCTTCCTTCCTTTTTGTCCTTCCTTCTTCTTCCTTCCTTCTTTCCTTCATCCTTCCTTCTTCCACTCTTCCATCCTTCTCTCTTTCCTTTTGTATCCCTTCCTTCTCTCTTTCCTTTATCCTTCCCTTCCTTCATTTCTTCCTTCCATCCTTCCCTCACTCCCTCTTTCTCCTTCCATCCTTCCCTTCCTCCTCTTCGTCCTTCCTTCTCTCTTTCCTTCTTCCTTCCCTTCCACTCTTTCATCCTTCCCTCCTTCCTTCATCCTTCCTTCTCTCTTTCCTTCCTCCTTCCCTTCCACTCTTTCGTCCTTCCCTCCTTCCTTCCCTTTTGTCTTTCCTTCCTCCTTACCTCCCTCCCTCTTTCTCCTTCCATGCTTCCCTTCCACCTTTTCATCCTTCCTTCCTTAGCCCTTTCCTACTTCTCTCCCTCTTTCTCTTTCCTTCCTTCCCTTTTGTATTTCCTTTCCTCTCTCTTTCCTTTACCCTTCTCTTCCTTCCTTCAATCCTTCCATCCTTCCTTCCTTTCCTCTTTCCTTCCTCCTTACCTCCCTCCCTCTTTCTCCTTCCATGCTTCCCTTCCACCTTTTCATCCTTCCTTCCTTAGCCCTTTCCTACTTCTCTCCCTCTTTCTCTTTCCTTCCTTCCTTCCCTTTTGTATTTCCTTTCCTCTCTCTTTCCTTTACCTTTCTCTTCCTTCCTTCCTTCATTCCTTCCATCCATCCTTCCTTTCCTCTTCCCTTCCTCTTTCCCTCACTCCCTCTTTCTCCTTCCATCCTTCCTTTCTTCTCCTTCGTCTTTCCTTCCTTCTCTCACTGGGCATCCCGTCGTCCTAGCAAGGAGTGCTAGCCTGCGGCCCTCAAGTTAGAGAGCTGGCCCATGCCTGCTCTAAAGTGAAGCTGGAGCCGAAGTTTTTTAAAAACCAAAAAAAAAAAGGTGAAGCTGCGTTAATTCTACAGTGAAGACGCGCCTAGGGACACCGAAGGCAGAGGGCTCCAGCAAACCTCGTGCTTGTGCTGGCCTTGATCTCCTGCCTCTTTCGCTCCAAGAGCCATGGGACTCCAGGAGCCTGCCTGCCTGCCGGTGCCTACCTCGTTGAGGACGGAGAGGGAGGAGAGGTTCTCCACCACGTTGTTGAGCTGGTTCTCCTCGAAGCTGCTGCTCATGGAGTCGAAGGATCGCCCCCGTCGGGGCACCTCGATCCTGCTGGAGTACATGCTGCGGGAGGGCAGGCGGCAGGGTGGAGAGACTGGGACGGACTGGGGCCCGCTCTGCAGCCAGCCTCCCGCCGCCCGGCTATTTATGGGCAGCAGAAAGGCGAGGGAGGGAGGGAGGGAAGCCTCTCCTCTTAATCTCCTGGCCGGGGAGGGGAGCTGGGGCAGGAGGGAGAGGCTGCCTCGTCCTGCCTCCCTGGGCGGAGAGGGAGGGCCCTGCAGCGAGGAACCGGGGACCAAGGAGCCTTAGGGTACATCTACCCTGTGGGATTCATATCGTTTAGCTGCCCTGGCTCAATGCTATCGAATCATGGGAGCTTTCCTTTTCCAAGGTCCTGATGCCCCATCAAACGGCAGCTCTCAGGATTCCCGAGCACTGAGCCATGGCAAATAAAGTGGTGTCAAGATGCACACTCAGATTAGATACCTTACATTTCGGCATCCAAGTAGTGGTATATTGGGTTGTTGTGAGTTTTCCAGGCTGTATGGCCATGCTCCAGAAGCATTCTCTCCTGACGTTTCGTCTGCATCAATGGCAGGCATCCTCAGAGGTTGTATGATCTGCTGGAAACTAGGCATATAACTGAGGTTATATGTCTCTGGAATGTCCAGGGTGGGAGAAACAACTCTTGTCTGTTTGTGGTAGGTGTGAATGTTGCAATTGGCCACCTTGATTAGCATTTAATGGCCTAGCAGTTTCCAGGTCTGGCTTCTTACTGCCTGGGGGAATCCTTTGTTAGGAGGTGGCCCTGATTATTTCTTGTCTGGAATTCCTCCAGGCAGTAAGAAGCCAGACCTAGCTGATGAACCAAGCTAGAATGTGTCTAGAAGGCGACTAAAATGATCAAGAGTCTGGAGAACAAGCCATATGAGGAGTGGTTTAAAGAGCTAAGCATGTTTAACCTGCAGAAGAGAAGGCTGAGATGAGACATGACAGCCATGTATAAATATGTGAGGGGAAGCCATAGGGAGGAAGGAGCAAGCTTGTTTTCTACTGCCCTGGAGACTAGGACACAAAACAATGGCTTCAAACTACAGGAAAGGAGATTCCACCTGAACATGAGAAAGAACTTCCTGACTGTGGGAGCTGTTCAGCAGTGGAACTCTCTGCCCCGGAGTGTCATGGAGGCTCCTTCTTTGGAGGCTTTTAAACAGAAGCTGGATGGCCATATGTCGGGGTGCTTTGAATGTAATTTTCATGCTTCTTGGAAGGAAGTTGGCCTGCATGGCCCACAAGGTCTTCTCCAACTCTAAGATACCACAGTTTTCATCAGTTGAAATACTGGAGTTTCCAGTTGACTTTCCATCTAATAAAGGTACAGGAACGGTAAAGAAATAAGTAGCAAACTTAGTAATGAGTTTCCTTTTCTTTCCCACTTTATTCTATTCAGAAATGCTAGCAAGCAGCTTTATACACACACAAACATTTCATTGTTGTGTGCCTTCAAGCCATTGGCTTTCTGGGGCTGAGAGAGCGTGACTTGCCAAGGGTCACCCCTGGGCAAGCCTAGAATCAAACCTTGGTCTCCATAGTGCAACAACCAAACCTCTACACTACTCTGACACACATACAGAAGGAGAAACTGAAAACCAGATTATAGTAAAATCACAGCAAGGTATCCACTAGTTGTGGAAATTAGACTCCCAATATTACCACCAAATTGCACACAGTGGATGAGGGTCTCTTTTATGTTGCATACATGAGTAGTAATGCTCTATTGATGGTAAATCAAAGTGAATGAGAGAAAATGAGAGAGGGGGTGGCTCTTTTGTTGCATTACAAAGTGAAGCATAAGACTTTGTGGTGGCCTGTCCAAATAATATTGTACATGGAGGACATTAGAAGTCAGACTTTAATCTGTGTTGAAATCTGGCACATTGAGCCAAATGAAGCAGGGAAGTAAGGTTCATGGTGAACTTTGTAGTTGATCATTGATGGGATTTCCAGTTTTAGTCTGAATCAGATCCATTGTGGGGTGTTGAATTAATGGAGTTTAACACCACTTTAATGGCATGGCTCAATGCTATTGAATCCTGGGTTTTGTAGTTTGGTGAGGCACCAACACTCTTTGAAAAAGAAGGCTAATGATCATGTAAAACAGTGGTTCTCAACCCATGGGTCCCTGGGTGTTCTGACCTATGACTCCCAGAAATCCCAGCCAGTTTACCAGATGTTAAGATTTCTGGGAGTTGAAGGCCAAAACATCTGGGGACCCACAGGCTGAGAACCACTGGTGTAAAACTACAACTTCCATGATTCCATAGCATTGAGCCATGGCAGTTCAAGAAATGACTGGTGGCTTCCATGTCAGTGGGATGATGAATCCACTCTGGATTTTAATCTGAATCGTAAATGAACTATCCAAAATGCTAGACTTGTTTTGGGGACAGAGTTCAGCACTTGAATCGATTATTTAAAACTCATATTAAAACCCACTGCAGCCTGACCATCATTTTGACATAGAACTAGCAACCAACCCTTGATGAACCTATTCAGTGACTCTTCCACTCATAATACAAAGGCAAGGCCTTATTTTGCAGCTAACAAAGTCAAAGTCAATCTGCAGTCACACTGCAGGTTAAACCACTAGCAACAGGAAATCTGCTGATCTGAAGTATGGCAGTTTGAAGCCACAAGTAATGCTGAGCTCTCATCAGTCAGCCCTAGCTTATGCCTACCTAGCAGTTCGAAAGCATACAATGTGTGTAGATAATAGGTACCGCCTCAGTGGGAATATAAAAGGGCACTCCATGCAGATATGCAGACATGCTGGCAACACAATCTGATATGTCCATGGACAACAGGCTCCTTGTCATGGAGAAATGGAACAAGAGCACCTCCCCATAGCTGGAGTTGAGCATCGCTGCCAGTTGTCGGAGATGGAAAAAGGGGAAGGCTTTTACCTTTGTCTGTGTTGTATGTCATTGTTCACTGTGTATAAAAGCCATTGAATGCTTGCCACATATGTGTATTGTAATCCACTCTGAGTCCCTCCAAAGAGATAAAGCAGAATATAACTAAAGTATGTTGTTGTTGTTGTTGTTGTTGTTGTTGTTGTTGTTGTTGTTGTTATTGGGTTGTTGTAGGTTTTTCCGGGCTATATGGCCATGTTCTGGAGGCAATGTTTCTCCTGACATTTCGCCTGCATCTATGGCAAGCATCCTCAGAGGTAGTGAGGCCTGTTGGAAGTAGGAAAAATGGGTTTATATATCTGTGGAATGACCAGGGTGAGACAAAGGACTTTTGTCTGCTGGGGCTAGCTGTGAATGTTTCAGCTGAATGTTTCAACATTCACAGCTAGCCCCAGCAGACAAAAGTCCTTTGTCTCACCCTGGTCATTCCACAGATATATAAACCCATTTTTCCTACTTCCAACAGACCTCACTACCTCTGAGGATGCTTGTCATAGATGCAGGCGAAACGTCAGGAGAAAAATTGCCTCCAGAACATGGCCATATAGCCCGGAAAAACCTACAACAACCCAGTGATTCTGGCCATGAAAGCCTTCGATAATACATTATTATTATTATTATTTTGAAAGTAGCCATGTTCATCTCTTCTGGCTTTTAAAGGATGGAGCGGGAGGAAGGAAGAAAAGGGATGTGGCAGCACCTTTGAGATTAGTTATTTTAGCATAGGTTTTTCCAGACTTAAACTCACTTACACGGATGATGTTGTTGCTTTCAAGTTGTTTCTGGTTAATGGATGATCTTGGCAAGATTTGTTGAGAGGGGGGTTGCTTTTGCCTTCCTCTGGGACTGAATAGAACAACAATTAGTTGTCCACTCATTTATCTTGAGGTATACCCCACTAAACTCATTGTGACTTTCTACTGCATAAGACACAAGTGGGAGTGCACTGTGGTTATATGATTTTGAATTAGGAGAAATGAGGGATAAATCCTCTCAAGATGTAATCTATCTGAGTTCAGATCAGGGCTTATTCAAAATCCATTGCACACTCTGTTCTGTAAAAATATCTCCTCTGAATAGCATAACAAGTAGAACAGCTGACAATGGGATGGGAGAGGAGATCACAATGGTCACAGCCAGGACTATTTAACCACTTCCTTGGTCATGAAAGAACCTTGAATAAAGCTTTCTGATATCAGAGTAGATTTTTCAAAACAGGAACTCCCTCGTCATGACATTTGTGCCATTACATCAACTCTGCTGAGCAACTACTCTAGTGTACAAGCCTGTTTTTGTCAGCTTATTAGTAAAACCAGGATGAAATCTGCAAGCAAAAAATTATGTTTAGATAAAGCTTTGTCTACATTTTATATTTAGTGCTATGATACCCTCGGGTTTGGGACCCAACCAAGGGCTTAATTGAGGACATTTTGCTCCCCAAAGTAACCCCCTAATTGAATTTTTCCTTTAGTCCCCAAATTTCTATCATTGCAGAGTGTGAGAATCTGAAAATTGTTCACTTCTAGACTTTTTATATTTTCTTTTTTCATTTCCTTGCTTGCTACTTTTCTTCGGAAGCCTAAACTCTCTTTCCAATTTGTCAGTTGAAATTTTAAATTACCAGAAATATATTAGTTGTATGTGCTTATGATACATATTTCTTGTATCTTCTGGACAGTGAAGATACATAGATTCAGGAAGGAGCTATTCTTTTGGCTTTGAAACAGCTTCTCCATTGCTACTGCTACAATGAGTGGTACCAAGCAAACTTCAGTTTATATATATCAAGAGGTTACCCTATTAATAATAAGGATAATAAATGTGCGGTCAATTATATGCTATCTCAGTTACCTTGTGTGTATCCAAGTCGTTACTGTGGGTTTAAGTTCTCCTCTCCCTTTGCCTCCTCTGCTAGATTTTTCATAACAGTTAATTTAGTTTCCCTTTAAATATGCTCCTGTCAACAGTGCGAAAGATGTAATGTTTGTTCACCGATATGAAAATGAAGTGCAAACTAGTTACTCACCACAGTAAACAATAGTTATGCTGATGATCTCATGCTGCTGGCACTGAGTCTTCCTCCAATTTCTCTGTAATAAAGCTTTGGTTTGCTATGTGGACACTAATACGATACCTTTCCTTCCCGTTCTTCTTCTTGAACTCTGAACTCAAGAACGGAAAACGGAACGTTGGTGGACAGGAAAAGAGATTTAAAGAAAAGAAAAGAGATTTTAAGGTTGGCTCAAAGCCAACCTTAAAAACTCTGGCATAGACACTGAGAACTGGGAAGCCCTGGCCCTTGAGCGCTCCAGCTGGAGGTCAGCTGTGACCAGCAGTGCTGCAGAATTCGAGGAGGCACGAGTGGAGGGTGAAAGAGAGAAATGTGCCAGGAGGAAGGCGCATCAAGCCAACCCCAACCAGGACCGCCTTCCACCTGGAAACCAATGCCCTCACTGCGGAAGAAGATGCAGAGCAAGAATAGGGCTCCACAGCCACATACGGACCCACAGGGAAACCCATGATGGAAGACCATCTTACTCGTCCAACGAGGGATCGCCTAAGTAAGTAAGTAAGTAAGCAAGTAAGTAAGAAAGTACCTTTCCTTCCCATCCAATATTTTATTTTTTGTGTTTCTGGGTTATCCCTTGCTCCAAAACCTTTGCATTTTCCATGGGTCACCCTGAAGCTCAACCTAACTCCTGGAACTCAACTTTTTCAATTTTTGAGCAGGGCAAAAATAATCCAAAATCACTTTTGGAGCAACATTTGCTTTTTGCATATACTCAGAAGGGAAAGTTAGTGTAGTGTTTTAAGTGCTGGAATAGGAATCCGGGAGAGCAGGTTTGGCTGCCATCTCTGTCACAGAAACCCACAAGGTGACCATGGGCAAGCCCCATTCTCTCAACCCCAGCAAATGGAAAATGGCACACCTCCTCTGATTTAATCTTGTTCAGAAAATCCTATAGAGTCATAAAATCATAAGAGCTGGAAAGGACCACATGACTCATTGAGTCCAACTCCTGCTCAGTGTAGGATCTCCAACTAAAGAATCTCCAGTTAGTAGCTGTCTGGCTCTTTTTGGGCATGTCAAGAGAAGGTGACTCCACCACCACTCCGGGCAATTAGTTCCATTGCCAAATTGTTCTTACAGTCAAAAAGTTTCTTTGAATGTTCAGTCAAAATCTATCCTCCTGCAACCTCAAACCATTAGACCTGGTCTTACCCTCTGGACAGCAAAGAACTACCCTGCACCCTCCTCTCTCTGACAGCCAGTGCTGGATTTACCCTAGTGCTTAGGTGTGCTTGAGCACAGGGCCCCATTGATCAAGAGAACCCATCTTCCTGCCAATTGTTTTTACAATGGTTATGTGGTACAATTCTAAATTTGAAGGTGTCCTGTTTTGAAGCGATTCCAGACATAATGATAGAGTTGATAGTCTACGAGAGTGTGCCACAAAGCTGGCAGTATAGACCTACTGGGCCAACCTCCTTCAGGTCCCAAGGAAGGGGCCTCATAATGTAACCAGCACAGGGTCTCATTTGTCCTAACTCCAGCACTGCTGATGGCCCTTTAGATATTTAAAAAGTTGCCATAAGTTGGAATATACTTGAAGGCAGATAAAAACAATAACAATGACTCTGAAATTCAGGATTCTATTCAAAGAAACACATCAGAATCAACAAAGTTCAATTGACTTTATAGATGACATTTTTAATTCTGTGTGTTTGTGTGCCTCTCCCTTCTTTTCCCCACTCCAATAAATTCCTTTTACATATTTGGACACATCTGACTGTGTGGATTCTGGGGAATGGGTTAGGGGATTCCTCACCTAAACTTTCCAAGGGTAAACCAGCAATCCTTTGTACACTTGGTGCCCCAGTTTAGATGTCTGCCTAAATTCTGTCATGATTCTGATTCACATAAATGACACTCTAGCCAGAAAGAGGGAATTTCTAGTGTTTTTTCTTCATATTTTAAGCCAGAGGAAAGATTTGTAAATCTTTGAATGCTTCTTCAGTACAGATGAAGCTTGTCTTTTTCCATGGGCAGTGTTTGTTTCCTATCAAGACACTGGACACTTTTTATCTTCATTACATTAAATGATGTGGGGGAGGATAGGTCAAAGAAAACACTTGCCCAGACATTATCTAACCTCTGAATCACTCACTAAAGCCTTTTCTGAATGCTTATTCTCCTTGACAACTGTTACTGACTCTGTTAAAACACCCAGAGCTTTGTTTCCTTGTACAGGATGCACATCATTGTGGCTACCTTGTGGCTTATCCCTACAATACAATGATACGTTTACTCAGATACAAACTCCCTTGAGTTTAGTGGGACAGACACTCTGTAGATATCTTAGAATTCTCTATTTATTTACCCCAGAGAAACTCACACTGAATTCAGTGGAACTTGTTTGTAAATAGTGGTGCTGACAAAGTTCAAACCTACTGCTTACAAAATTCCAGACAGTGTCTAAAGAAACACACCACTCATCCCAATGGCTTCTCTGTGTAGTCTGACATGGTGGTTGTTGGTGTGGTCCAGCATTTCTGTGTTCTCAAATAATATGCTGTGTCCAGGCTGGTTCATCAGGTGCTCTGCTATGGCTGACTTCTCTGGTTGAAGTAGTTTGCAGTGCCTTTCATGTTCCTTGATTCGTGTTTGGGCGCTGCGTTTGGTGGTCCCTATGTAGACTTGTCCACAGCTGCATGGTATACGGTAGACTCCTGCAGAGGTGAGAGGATCCCTCTTGTCCTTTGCTGAACGTAGCATTTGTTGGATTTTCTTGGTGGGTTTGTAGATTGTTTGTATGTTGTGTTTCCTCATCAGCATCCCTATGCGGTCAGTGGTTCCCTTGATGTATGGCAGGAACACTTTTCCTCTGGGTGGATCTTCATCTTTACTCTCGTGGCTTGTTCTTGGTCTTGCAGCTCTTCTGATGTCTGAGGTGGAGTATCCATTGGCCTGGAGAGCCCAGTTGAGGTGGTTCAGTTCATCTGGAGGAGGTGGGGTTCGCAGATTCTTTTTGCACGGTCTGCCAAGGCTTTAATGGTGCTTCTTTTTTGACTTGGGTGATGGTTGGAGTTTTTATGTAGATATCTATCTGTGTGTGTGGGTTTTCTGTAGACGGTGTGACCCAATTGTTGATCTGGTTTGCGGATGACTAGGACATCTAGAAAAGGCAGTCTTCCTTCATTTTCTTTTTCCATTGTGAATTGGATTTTTGGGTGGATGCTGTTAAGATGGTCCAGGAACCTGTTGAGTTCTTCTTCTCCATGGCTCCAAATGGTGAAGGTGTCATCCACATATCTGAACCATATAGTGGGCTTTTTGGTTGCTGTCTCCAGGGCTTGTTTTTCAAAGTGTTCCATGTAGAAGTTAGCTATGACCGGGCTGAGAGGGCTCCCCATAGCTACTCCATCTTTCTGTTCGTAGAATTCATTGTCCCACTGAAAGTAACTGGTGGTGAGGCAATGGTGAAACAGAGCCGTGATGTCTTCTGGGAACCTCTGGTTGATGAGTGCCATGGTGTCTGCTACCGGGACCATGGTAAATAGAGATACCACATCGAAGCTGATCAGTTTGTCGTTTGTATTTAGCTTGAGATTGCTGATTTTTTCTATGAAGTGGGCTGAGTCCTTGATGTAGTGTGTAGTGAGCCCAATGTGGCTTTGTAACTGTGCAGCAAGAAATTTTGCTAGGTCGTATGTGGGGGATCCAATGGCACTCACGATGGGTCTGAGTGGGGTGGAGTCCTTATGGATTTTTGGGAGTCCATAAAGCCTGGGTGGATGGGCTTCCGATTTACATAGCTGTTGTCGTATGTCAAAGTTGATTGAGGAGTTCTTAATCAGAGTGTTGGTTTTCCTGGTTATTTTGGAAGTTGGGTCTTGCTTGAGTTTTTTGTATATAGTAGGGTCCAGGAGTTTTCTGATCTTCTCCTTGTATTGTTCTGTATGCATGATTACTGTGGCATTCCCCTTGTCTGCTGGCATAATGAGGATATCCGGATCTGAATTGAGGTCTCTGATGGCTTGTCTTTCCTTCCTTGTAATATTACTGGAGGGAAGTTTTGCCTTTTTCAGGATCCTTGCTGTTTCCGCTCTTACTTCTTCTGCTTCTTCCTCGGGGAGGCGATAAATTGCTGATTCAACATTGGCAATGATGTTTTCTACTGGGATCCTGGTGGCAGTTACAGCAAAGTTTCCTCCTTTCGCTAGTATGGATACTTGGTCTTCAGAGAGTTGTCTGTCTGTCAGGTTGATGATAGTCCGTGATGTATCCAGTTCTGGTTTCGGCTGTTGCTTTTGGCGTTTGTGGAATTTTTGTTTTTGTCTGTTGGTGTGGACAGCCATGTTTTTCTCCATTTTCCTGTAAGTGAGGTTGTCTATTTTGTCCCAGTCCTGGGAATTCATCTTCTGGCTGATGTTGATATGGAGGTGCAGCAGTTCCTTGTCTGTGTTTGCGAGTTCTTTGCGGATGGTGTGGATTCTCTCTCGTAAGAGGTTGCATTCTAGGTGGTCATAGATCCGGTGAGCCTGTGGTGTTTTGAAAGTCCTTTTGGCTGCGAGAAATTGTGGGATGGTATCTGTGTCTCTGCAGCGTAGAAGGAAAGTCAGGGAGCACAGTAGATGTGCTTTCCTGGTCCTTAGTTTCTCCAATTTCCGTGTGTCCACAAGCATGTGGACAATTTCAACAGAAAGGAAGAGACCATGAAAATGAACAAAATCTGGCTACCAGTATTTAAAAAAACTCTAAAATTACAACAGCAAAACAACAGAGAGGAAACAACCAGGCACATCTTAACACCTCTCAACAAAAGAATTTCCCAGGCTCAGCCAGGCCTTCAAATGCTAATGAAGGTGGTCAGTTGAAACATTCACACCTAGCTCCAGCAGAGAAAAGCTCTTTGCCCCACCCCAGCCATTCCACAGATATATAAACCCATTGTCCTAATTCCAACAGACCTCACTACCTCTGAGGATGCTTGCCATAGATGCAGGCGAAACGTCAGGAGAAATGCCTCTAGAACATGGCTCTATAGCCCAAAAAAACCCACAAGAACTTAGTGATTCCAGCCATGAAAACCTTCGACAATACATTAAGATTGTTTTTCTTGAGGAGCAGGAAATTTAATGTTGGAACCCCATAAACTACCTGAGAGGAAAAATCTGGGACTTTTGTGCCACTTCAGATGCAAAGGAAAATCCTAGCCAAAAATCTTAATAGCTAAGCAGAATAATAGAAAAGCATACAGTTGTTTCCATGCCTTCGTCTCCAGGTAATTCGTCTACCAATGACAGAATGAAAGTTATTTCTAAGTAAACTGTTGGGTTTCATCCTTGACTGCACAAGTCTCCAGCTCTCAATGAGTAGTTAGCCTAGATAGATTAGAATGAGTGATTCTTTCCTCTATATTCTCTATGCATGCCTATCTCAAGAAGGGGCTTTGAAGGGGGGTTGTCTTACTCATCCTGCAAGCCACTATCTCCTCCACTTTGAATTCTTAGCAATGTGATATCTTCAGGAAAGACATAATTTTTATTGCCCTGGTGAGGACATGTGGTCAATTCTCCATTTTGGCCTCTCTCTTGCCTTTGTTCTCCATGAGTGAAGACACATCTTACCATTCTCCAGCATGGCTATTTTGTCATTTTTCCTTTCTCCTTTCCTCAGAAGATATCTAAGTGAATGTATTGTCGAAGGCTTTCATGGCTGGAATCACTAGGTTCTTGTGGGTTTTTTCGGGCTATAGAGCCATGTTCTAGAGGCATTTCTCCTGACGTTTCGCCTGCATCTATGGCAAGCATCCTCAGAGGTTGTGAGGTCTGTTGGAAGTAGGAAAAATGGGTTTATATATCTGTGGAATGGCTGGGGTGGGGCAAGGAGCTCTTCCCTGCTGCAGTTAGGTGTGAATGTTTAGCTGATCACCTTCATTAGCATTTGAAGGCCTGCCTGAGCCTGGGAAAATCTGTTGCTGGGAGGTGTTAATCTGTGCCTGGTTTTTTCCTCTCTGTTGTTTAGCTGTTATAATTTTAGAGTTTTTTTAATACTGGTAGCCAGATTTTGTTCATTTTCATGGTCTCTTCCTTTCTGTTGAAATTGTCCACATGCTTGTGGATTTCAATGGCTTCTCTGTGTAGTCTGACATGGTGGTTGTTGGTGGTTATCTAAGTGAAACTAGTTAGCTCCAAGAACCTTTCCTGTCCAAAATGGATTTCTTTTGACTTTAATAAACATTATTTTTAGAACCTATGAAGTTGAAGCTCTGCAATCCTGTTCCATCCTGCTCAATGGAAACTAATCCTTGCTCTCTGCACGTAAGGTTCTGCTGGTTATGAATTGTTTTTCTAGCACCCTGCTATATTTTGTGGTATCATCCCCAAGTGAAAGCTATTTTTGAGCCTAACAGCTCTTGATTCCTAACACAAACTATCATTATTTTAACTTTGATTGTTATTATGAATATTCATGACCACTTTGCCAAGAGAACCCACATCTTCACCACTACCACCTTCTGTATTTATATAAAGGTTTGGAAAGATTCAGAGTATTTTTCATGTGGTGTTTTAATCAAAAAGGAAGAGGGAAGACAATTATTTGGGTCTGCAGGGTCAGGCTTACTTGCAAGTTTTAATACCCCACCATGTTATCATTTACACTAATACATGTCCCTTATTCATTTAATATATGTACATGCACTAAACGGAAGTCAGAAATCAGGCTATAAATAAAATGTTTGCTAACATAATAACCTAATGAGGATGTTTATAAACCCAAAGACTGTTCTTAATTGAGAGCTTATATTGTTATCATCACAGAATTTTCCAAGGAAAAAGCTTGCTTTCAAGCCAAGTGTAGTGAAAATAATGAATCAATTCAGAATCATTGCACTCTATGAATGAGCCGTCTTATGTTTGTTCATATGCAAATACACATACACGTATATCATATACCACAGCAAGCAGAGTGAAATACCCCATCAATTCTGGAGTGACAGGGACTTAGCTGATCTACATATAGTACCCAGCAAGCTCACATTAATATCTCAGTAAATAAACAACTAAACAAGACTTAACCTTTTATTTGGTAGAAGGTTTCATGGACTGCAATCCATTTCATCAGGTGCATGGACTGTTGCCTAAACTGGCAGATATTTTATGCCCATGCTGGGGAACAAGGTGGGGAATGTGGAATAAAAAAATGAAATAGTCCCAATTTCCATTATTATCACCAGTGGCTGTTTAACACTTGTTAGAAGGTGAGAAAGACACCGTAACATAGATATAAGCACATGTTGGATAGTGGAAAGTTCAATTCATGTACAAGAAAAAGAATTTAACTTCTAATGAATACAAGTAGGTGGGCTAGGGGTGTCATTAGAAGGGCTAAAGAGAATAGAAATACAAAAATTTCAGAGAATGAAAATGGCTAGACATCCTAACACTGCTGAGCTGACAAAGCTGTTGTCATGTTCTTTCAAGTTGACTTTGATTTATAGATTCTCGATTATAGGATTTTCCTGACAAGATTTCTTCACAGGAGAATTACCATTGTCTTTCCTCTAATGCTGAGAAAATAAGACTTGCCCAAGACTAGCCAATGGTTCCATGGCCAAGTGGGGATTTGAACCCTGGTCTCCCAGAACCCTGGGACAACATGCAAAGCACTACACCACACTGGCTCTAAGGAGTTAGACACATAAACACTATTCTCTTTGCTTCTCTCATTACAATCCATCACCTGCAAAAGTTTAATCTATGCATCAATCCAAGATCCCACAGCAGAACCCCCAGAAACCAAGTGACACTGGCAAAGAGATTCCCAGGCTCAAAAGGGAGACTAGCTGTGGCCCTACACCTTTAGAATGCCTCTCCCAAGGAGAAACCTATGACGTTACTGCTGAAGCCTTTTAAACTGTACACCAACCTTTTCTTTCACTTGCATTTTACCTTAAAATCTTTAGTAGCAATATGTGTGTTTTAACCAACATTCTAATCTCATGCTTGTAATATCTTTTAAAGGCAGAGGACCTTGAAAAGCACATTTCAAATCTTTTCCCAACAGCATCAGTTTCTCAATGCTCCAATATCATGCTTATACCCACTATCACACACCCCTCAACAAATATATTTACAGAGGGAAGTAAAAGGTAAATTAAATCACTTGAAATACTTGGGTCATTGAACTTCCCAAAGAATAACAATATAAAAGGTAGCAATAGCAGCCAGTGACCTGTACATGTTTGGGGAAAATCACAAAGCATGAATGAATTAAATTATGATCAAACTTGAATTTTTGATTCATTGGACGCTTACTGCTGTCTACCTTATTTTTCTTCATTTCCCTTCGTTGGTATTCACAACTGTACATTTTTTGAAGAAACTTTTCCAGGGAGTTCTTTAAAAGTGTGGCTTGAATAGAGCATTGACGTCACGGGGAAATCAAACTAGCCACGTTTAGGGCAAATTGCTTGCCTCTTGCTGCTATGGATAATGGGAGCTTGAATCTAATGTCAAAGTAACATTTCTAGCTTTGTGCCGCTGACAAAGAGGATCATATGACTAAAGGCAGAAGGTGTTTTTTTTTTTTACAAGGGAAAATGTCCTGCTAGCTCATCTGGCTATTCCTTTTCATCATGACCCCAAGTACTGAGAGTCTAGTGTTACTCAGTATTTAAAACACTGACGTATACTATTGCTCTGTTTTAAAGAGCCTACAAGTGATTATTCTGCATGAATCAAAGTTAAACAGCCTACAAATGTGTCAGTTGTATTTTTTTCTGGAAAAAATGTTTTTGTGTCCTTACTGACTGCAGATTCATCCCCAGGAACATATACAGGTGAACCAAAGAAATCGGATTATTCCAATCTACTAAAGCGATTAAAAATAGTAACTAAGGAAGGAAGGAAGGATGAGTGAAGACTTTCACTTCTGCTGTTGAAGCAACATAGAACAGTCTGTCCCCTAGAACACAAATAGGGGACATTCTCTCTCT